AGCCCTTTAGCCATTTTTTCGTTTGTAATGTTGAGAATAATAATTCTTCGTCATGAAGAAATACGTTCCCATAATTTTTCCGAGTGTTTCAGTGACTATTTTTTTTTTTTAATTTCGTTAGGAGCTATGTTAAATGTGCTTGTGTTTAAAAAATATAAAGAGTTTTGATTTACTTATTTGTGTAAAAAGTATGCGACATTAATTTATTTTATGTTGTTACAACTAAAATGTAAAACTTGGCCCATTTATCGATAGTAAAACTGATTAATGCCGAGTTTTTTTTTTGTTTTAGTTGTATTTACCAAAATCGTCGAGACTGTCCGGTAGAGGAGTTGTGGAAGAATTTTCCAGCGAGAAACAATTGCGACACGCCATAAATGCTTTAAATACTGCCGATGAAAGCGGGTCGAACTGATGGCTGAGTGGTTTTCACGATCAGTCCTCCCGTCCCCCACGTCCAAGGTTTCCCGATGAGGCAATAACCACGGCAGAAAGGATTATTGAGAAAGGGAAAGATAATTGACTTGCAGCTGCAAAACCAGGATTTGCCCTTTCCTCGACACTTTTAAACCTTTTAACCTAGTGATTTATTCGTTTTGACTCTAGATTGGCTTTAAATCGATTTTAAATTTTTGCCGTTGGGAAGAATAAAATTAAATTGAATAATAATACTTAACATCGAGGGACGAATCTAAAATGATATCCTTATTATTCACGATGTTACAAAAATGTTTGTGACACTCTATTGTCATTTTCAATTGATTTAAATTGTCTTTATTTGTACGCTTTGTCAGTTAAATTATACATCTAATTACAGTAGTTGCATAGAATTTGTGAATTTACGGTGAATGTGTCATGGAAATATTTTTCACCGATTTACAAAAGTTTTTCGATTACTGAAATATTATGTCGATGTTTTAACTTTTAATAAAACTGGAAACAAGAATTATAATTTATTTTAATGAACTTGATGAGCTCTTTTAAACTTTAAGAATCAATACCAGAAATTAAGGACAAGGTAATAATCGTATTTCATGGTTTTGACTTCAACAACATCAGAACAATGAATTATTGCAAAAGTTACAATTATTGTTTTATATCTGTTGGGATGTTAAAAAGCTTAAACAGCTTCTGATTGGAAAGTTTTTAAATTAATTGCACGTTCAAACGATTTTCCTGATAATCATAATGTTTAATTAAACAAACAACCGGTCCAGTCGTATCCATTGATTCTGAACCATACAAGAGAAGAGTTTGAAGATAGGAAATCCAAATAAGTGTAGTTAATTTCTTCTTGTTTTGCCCTGCCGGAGACTTAATTAACCCGCATTCACCCAAACGCTAAACGATTAAAGAATTTTTTTTGGTAAATTTGGATCGGTACAACTCCAGCGTCCGGAGTTGGAAGACAATTAGTCTTTAAACCTCTTTTTAACAGAAAGACTGAAGTTGAAATCAAGAAACTCACCCCGAGATTTCAATCCGTTTTTACTCATAGAAGGAGTTTTCCTTTTCACTGCCGGACTCTTAAAAACTAGAGAACAATAGCGCTCGCAGTTCTTTACCAATGTCAGTTTGTCAGGGGAGGGAAAAGTCCCAAAATTAGCTTTCAACTCTTTTATTGTTTTAGACATGTATTGTCAACTTGACTTTTCGAACAATATTCTGTGACTGGATATAATTAATTTATTGGCTGTGATCTTTTTTGAACATACACTGACTGTTGTAAAAATTAAAATATAAAAAAACGTTTGGACTTTTTTGGCAGAGATAAAAAACAGTTCCATCCTTTTTAAAAAGATAGTTCCTACTCACAGTAAGGAGTCTACACAGTAATATAAATTTTACATTGGAAATTGGCAAAGATGTTTGAACTTTTTAGACCTAAAACTGTCCATAATAAACAACCTAATAGAAATAGACGTATATAGAAAACCCACAACTACAGACTCTATGATACCAGCGGATTCTTCCCACCCATGGTCCTAAAAGGCTGCTGGTTTCATTTGGCTCATAGACCGGATGCTAAAACTTCCGCTGATAACTATTTTTAAAAAATTAAAAACTATTAAAACCTTAGCAAAAAACAACGGGTTTCAAGAAATATTTATTGATAGGATGCTAGTTAAAAGAATAAAAAAATTAACTTTAAACGAATCAACAATAGGACTCAGCCACCCCACCACAACTGAATCGTTAGGTTTCCGTTGTTTGCCATACATTGGTGAATTATCGGAAAAAGTTAGTAAAATTTTTAAACAAGAAGGTTTTAGCTTATAGAAGTACGGGGTCACTAAAAAACATCCTCTCAAAACCTAAAGACAAAGTAGACAACTTGGCAAAACTTACTGTGAGTAGGAACTATCTTTTTAAAAAGGATTGAACACCACACTCACTCCATAATTTATCATTTCTATTAAAAACAGTTCCCGTCAAGATAAGTTTCACAATAAATTGTGCGGCGAGTCTTCGACGATCTCTCAAGAAGACTGAAAACTAAGTACGTCCTAAGAATTGCTCATACAACGAGGAAAAGCTATAAAAGCACAGAATTCACACGGAAAAACTTTCGGATGGGATAGGACGCGCGAAATTGCAATGATTGCACAAAAAATTGTAATCCACCGCTTGGGAACCTTTCGTCTGGTGGCCGCTGTACCTTTAACAGTTACAGTTAAACAAAAAAAAAGGTCATTGTTTTAATCCATATATGTGTTTAGCAGTCTAAGGTCTTGGCTTAGATGAAAAAGCAACTAACCAGCAGGAATCGAACCTACGAACTTCGGCTTAATACGCCGCAGCTCTAACCAGGTGAGCTTTCGCGACTTCGATCCAGCCGAACATCAACTCCTCATCTCAATCTATATCGGCGAATTGAGCCGAAGGTCGTGGGTTCTTATTTCACTCAACCAAGACTTTAGATTGAAAATATAATTGGTTAAAATAGCTAGTACGGTCAATTGAGATTGCTATATACATGTATAGATTAATATAATAATTACAGAAGTACTTAATTTGCTAACAGCTCTCTGTGACCACCTCAAAAGTCGCCGAGAACCAAGTCTTGATTACACATTTGAAAATATGGCTAAAAGAGGGAAAACATTTATGGAAAGCAGGCAGTTGCATGTTTTTGTGTTTTTTAAAAAGTTTTAGGGGCGTTTGCAACAGCAGATGTCATTTCAATCCTCGAAGTGCAGGTGAAAAAAAAATTGTAAGTATGTCGAAACCTTTTCCTATAGTACCTTTAAGCGCCGTGACAACTCTGAACCGTTGCAGCCACCGATACCTCAATGTACCGTCTATACTTTATGATAGGTTTAAGTTATGGGGTTATTAACGTTCAAAAAAAACTGATACATGCTAAGCTCGCACGCTGTAAAAACATCACACTCTTGGAAGAATTATGTTTGAAATGAATAAAAAGTTTTGTCATCGCTGATCATCTTTGGTTTTAAACGCTTAAATTATTGTTATTAATGGACGAGAAAATGATAGGTTAGTTCACGGCGCCGAAAAATACCTTTTTTGAATACTGGATTGTGTTGCGTGTTTAGTAGACCTTCAGCGCCGTGAAATTAGTTGCTTATTTTTTTAACTTCATTTATTTGTATCTACAACTGTACATGTATTATATACAACCAGCAGATTGGGTAATTTGTGTTTGTGGCATTACGGGCGTTATGGAGAAAGCTACCCATTGGCGGCCGCTCTGGATTAATGAAATGATATTAATCTTTTAAGAGGTTTCTTATCCATATTCTTTGCAGACATTTACGTGATAATTGTGGGGAATGGAGAAATCGTATTTGTGTGTTAGTGTGATTTTCTAATTTACTATGAAAACGTCTGTAATATGTTTTTATGGATGAAAAACCGTTGGCATGTGAAGATCTCTGTGAAATGTGTTATTGTTTACGTTAAAAGGGGCAGAAACAATTAGTCTTAAAATTTTAGGTTGAAAACTTTGTAATCTTGTAAACTTGTAACCGATCCATATACTCGGCACCCGTACATCCCAATAGGTTTGAGGAGGTATGTGTATGTCGAAAGTTTAGATTTTAATTGTAATTTTGATTGTCGGTTGAGTAGGTAATGAAGCATTTTAAATCGTTTGTTCAATGTCTGTTTTTTTAATCGTGTGTGGATTCCAAGTTAGTCTTCTATCAAATGTAAGTCCTAAATAGTTAACTTTGTCGGATTGAGAAACAGGTTGTTGTGAATTTGAGGGATTAAACTTTATTTTCCAAAGATTGCTCCATTTTTCAATTGTTGCTATGTGGTTTTGTAACATGAGTAAAGCTTGTGTAGAAGAGAGATGACTTGTTAATATGGCGGTGTCATCTGCGTATGTGGCGGTAAGTGTATTCTCTTTTGTGGGCATATCAAAAGTAAAAATTGTGTACAACAGCGGAGCGAGTATTGACCTTGTGGCACACCTGCAAGCACTTCTTCCATCCCAGAAGTCTCCGTACCATGGTTTACTGCAAAAAATCTCTCTTTAAGTATGATTGCATAATCAGATAATAGGCCTGGGGAAAAAATAATTTTAATTTTTATAATAATCCCTCGTGCCATACTTTGTCGAAGGGCTGAGAAACATCTAGAAACACTCCAGTCGCGTACAGTTTCTGCTCGAGACACGAAGTAATGAAATCTATCACTGTGAAGTTGATGAGTGGTGGCCAAATTGATGGTCTGGTAAGATGTTGTTCGAAGTAGCAATAGAGATAATTCTTTTGTAAATTAATTTTTCGAATAATTGAGAAGGAACAGGTAACAAACTAATAGGACGATAAGATGATGGGGAGCTTAAATTTTTGTGAAGCTTTTGGATCATATTAATGTGAGAAAGCGTATGGGAAAGTGTGTAGTCCTCAAAATTGCGTTAAATAAAGAAGTCAGAAAGACGACAGCTTTTTTGGGAAGTTCTTGAAGAACTTCAGCTGTTATCAAATCGTGACCAGGTGATTTTTTCTTTTAGGAAGCTGTCGTATTTCTTGTGATACTTGTTTTGGAGTTATTGGTTTAGGTGGCAGATCTAGAAGTATAGGTATCACAAGTGAATCTGATATAAATTTATTGTGTTCAGTATTCATTAAGTTATGGTGTTTCGCAAATGTTTTGGACTTTTCTTTATCGGAAACGATCCAAGTTCCATCATCATTCCTGAGAGGAGCTGAGACAACGCTGTGACGCAGGATCGTTTAGTACTACGCCAGAGGCTCCCATCGTCTGTTGACAAGCTTTTTAAATGTGTTTGGTATGATTGTTGTTTAAATTGTTTTATTTATCTTTTCAATGTATTCAAAAGTTTGTTGTAATTTTGTTTGCCAATGACTGATCTAGTATGTTGCCAAAGGCTTCTAGCCCTTCTTTTTTCGGATGTTAATTGCCTTATGTGGAAAAGCTAATTTGGAAGATTTTTCTTTTTAGTGTGAGGCAATGTATTGTAGATTCCCACGCTGCATTTTGTACTGTTTTGTACATGTTTTGTTTTGTAAATAGATCAACCGCGTTTTCTAGTTCTCCTTTTAAGCTAATTGGGAGGGAAAGTTTTTCATCAAGCAAGGAACGAAATTTTTTCCAATTCATTGGTCCAGGAGTTAGAGTAGGACGATTGTTTTTAATAAAAGGATTTAATTGAAATGATAAAAAGACAGGTAGATGTTCAGATGATAAGTCGGTGGAGGTGTTTGTCTGAAAAAGAATATTATTTATTCCCTTACAAACAAAAAAATCCAGTAGATCCGGAGATTTTTTGGTTGATGTTGGTAGATATGTGGGAGTGTTTGATGTAGTGGTCGTAAAGCTCGACCTCTAGGAGAGAAAAGACGGGACTCCCACTGGACATGTTTAGCGTTGTAATCCCTCCAGCCAGAAAAGTTGGTCCCAGACATCCGAAGAATACCTTAAACTGGTCACTTGAAATTGAGTGCCTGGGTGGGCAATAACAATTGTCTTGTTTGATGCATTGTAGAGAAATGGAAGTACTCTGAAATTGTGGTGTTGTGTAAGGCGGTAGGACATAATGTAAAAGTGAAGATTTTATAATCACAGCAGTGCCACCGTAAGACGTGCCATCTGGATGGTCAGTCCTATATACAGTGTAGACTGTAATGTAAAAACGAGATTTGGATGCCATGTGTGTTACAGAGATCTAGGCAATATCGATGCGGACTCGGTGTAATAAAAATTCAAGTTTCATTTTACGTTGTGAGAGGTCATTTGCATTCCACAAAAGAATTGATAATGTGTCAACTGTATGAGTATTAATTACCATATTGTGAACAGAGGGAATGGGTTATATAAGAGATTTGATTATCAACATTTTCAACAAAAGAGGATGGATAAGTGCGTTCATTTCTGTTAAAACAGTGTTGGGCAAAAATTAGTTAAGTGTAATGATTTATGATTGATCGCTCAGACCGTTAGTCATGATTGGTAGTAATTTAGTCATTAGTCACCATATGTGATTGATGGCTAAATTAGTCATGACTAATTAAATATGAGGGATGACTAATTTAGTCACAATATAGTTAGTCATGACTAAATTTCGATAAATCATGTTCAAATGGGTGTTCCAAAAGTGAAAAATACACAACTTCATCACTTGTAAACTATTTCCTAACAGAAATTTATTTAATACACAACTTCATCACTTTTAAACAATTTCCTAACAGAAATTTATTTCTTCAAAACAAAAATCCTTTAACACCTTATTTACCGTTAGTTAGTTCTTAAAAAAAAAAAAAAAAAAAAAAAAAAAAAAAATAATAATAATAATAATATAAAATAAATCCTATAACAAGCTACGCTTTGAAAAGTAAGTATGTTTACATAACCGATCGATGGAAAAAATATTTCTTTGAATTAAAATTTATTCCACTTGAAAGGAGAGATTTCTACATTATTTGGAAAATACACAACTAGGGGTCTTTATTGTAATAAAATAGAAATAATAGAATAATTATGTAACTTTGGTTTTCGTTTATGATAACACTTTTTGAAGGTTGGCCTTCAGCACGACTCTCATCTCAAAATTTTTGTATCCGGAGTCTGTTGGATTTTGGTAAGTTGGTCATTGAAGCCAGAGTTGGACAAAATCTAACTAATTCAATCAAAATTCTTAATCATGATTGAATTAGTTAGATTTTGCCCAACTCTGTGTTAGAAAATGTTGGAGACCAGGCGGCATACCTAACGATGTTGTGCTAGTAACTTCCTTAGCCCGTTGATTATCCGTTGGTCTTGCTTGAGTCCTCACCCATGTTGGCGGTGGTAGGCTTTGCTCGTCTTGTGAAAAAGTGACGGAAAATTAGTGTCGTCTAGTTGGGGTGGTTTCGATGTTGTACTATTGTTCTTCCTTCCTTGTTGTACTTGTTCCGTGTTCCTTGTTGTGCGTTTTACTTGTAAGTCTTTGAAGGCATTGCGCCCTCTGTAGTTCGCAGGGTGATCACCTCCGCAGTTTGCACATGCTTTGGTATTTCTGCTTTTTCCGCAAAATCCAGATTCGTGTTGATCACATCGAACCGAGCTGATAAACACAATAGGATTTGGCGTCCGACACCTTGGCACCGTGAGCATTGCACGATTTGTCTCGGTCTATGTCTACAAAAAACATGTTTAATGGTATTGTTATGGTAATAGTTTAAATCGTGATAGAGCGTTAATGCTATTAACTACTTTGTATCCTTTGTTGCTTAATTCTTCAACTTTTAATCCTGTGGGGGTAGAGAAGTGTAGACCTTTTAATACAATTCTGTAATTTTTTTCTTCTTGTAGTTGATACCTATGAAATTCAGTTTGAGTGTTTTCCAAAAATTGTATAAATTTTCTGTAGGTTTGTTTGCGAGTAGTTTTAAAGAATTGTTAGTGTTTTTTATGATGAAGGAATTGACGCCTCCTATGTTTTTAATGTAAATTAAAGTTTCAACTCTTTCGTTTCTATACTATTTTTAGTTGACGTTTCGTATTTGATATTGATTGCTTGTAGGGATTTGAGTACTCAAAGTAGTTTGGATAAGCAGCACTTTCCTCGGGGTCCCTGTTAGAAATTTGCATACCAGGTCGCTTTCTCCCAAAACCTTTGTGCCACTCATCTGTAAGATCGTGTTCGTTTAAGGTACTAACCTCAAAATTTAAACATTTTATTAAATTTAAAAATATTATTTAATTTGGTCTAATATTCAAGATAAGGCCTTTGGAAAACATTATTATCTGGTTAAAGCTTAATCAAAATTGTAAACCAACTTTTTAGGAATATCGTTTAGAAATCAATTTTGTTGTAGATGAATCATTAACTTGACAAAAAATACAACTGAATGCCATTTAATACGTTCTTTTTTATAGCTAGCAGTATTGCATATAAAAAACCCATCATCCGGTTATCCTACACAGTACAGTCAATCCACCCACCCATTTAACCTAAATTTATCGTAATATCTACAACAATATTCATAAAATTAAATTCACAACATTTAATAAACTATTCCATAAACAATTATAATTAAAATAGCGATAATTGATCAAAAACATAATTTAAATATTAAATAATGTTTTGCCATCAGACATTTCTACATCTACTTGTCCGATAGGATCCAATTCCCTAAAAGCATAAAGAATCCTTCTGCACTTCATCAATGAACGATATTTAAACTTTTGTTAGGATTTCGATTGAATCGCCACCGTACTACTTTCAAAGAAAACCTAGTATTTTTCGTTCGCGCAATATTGTCTCTGAAATTCTGTAAGTTTTAAGACTGTAAAAAATAAAATAAAAATAAAAACTTACTAAATAATGTTTACTAAATCATTCTTTACTAAATAACGGACAGCTCAATCGTTCTTTGCAATATGAAAAGGACAACAGTCTATTCACATACGGTGCAATAAAACAATACTTGATCATTCTACAAATAAATACGTGACAAAGTTTTAGATAAGAAATAAGGGTCATTACTTTTTAAGACTAACAAAAAGTTCAGTATTAAAGTCACGAAATGTACATTAAATTTATTGTTTTAAGATCCAATAGTTCAGAAAATTAAATTAACAATGCGAAGTAACGCTAGGAATCACGTGTAATTGGAATTTCTATTGTGAAGAGTTTTAATAACCAACATACATATGCTGCTTAATGCGTATCATATTGAAAGAATTAAATATAACCACAAGTGAATCTTTCAAATGAGTAGGTCGTCAGTAACATTCAATTTAAAATAATTTCGTAATTTTGAGAAATGAATTTAGCATAAAGATTGGACAAAATTGAATATCTTAGCCAGAAATTAACCAATGGTTTGGTGAAATTTGTATTAAAAGTGATTTCTTCTAGCAAGTCCAATTAAAAAAATGTTCTGAAAAAAAGAAAGGATACTCATATAAAACATGTTCTCTCTGTGAATAAAAAGTTTCGTCATCTTCACACATAGTTTCGGGATTTTTCCAAAAAAACACCCTAAAAATAAAGGGAGGGTGAATGTTAAACATGCATTGCATTTTTTATAGCTTCTTATGTTATACTATGTTAATTCGAAATTATATATTCACCAACAAAACATCGTATTATTATTGAGTTTAGTTCACGGCGCCAAAAACTACTGTTTATGAAGACTGGACTGTGTTGCGGGTATGGTAGACCCTTAGCGCCTTGAAGTTAGTCACTTATTTAAAACTTTTCAATTAATTATACTTTTTATCTTAGGTTTTAATTAAGACGGAAAAGTTTGGGTCACGAGCAGGATTCGAACCTACGGCCTACGGCTCAATACGCCACTCAAACTACCATGACTTCGATCCACTCGGACACCAACTCATAGTCTGGGACTTTTCTACGTTCAAGTTAAGCCTATTTTCAGCGGCCCAGGAGCTAATTGAGCTGAATTCTTACAATTGACGCTTGTAAGTAAGAAAATGGGAAGTAAACGTAAATTTGGGAGTCATTGAATAAAGGAGCAATATTTTATGGATTTAGGGAAATCATTAATGTAAGAGCAAAAATAGGAAGCGGAGCTGCTTGAGCCTTGAGAGACTCCAGAAGAATAGAGAAAAAGATAAGGGCTTTTGGGACGGAAACTACTTCCAAAAGGAAAGTGTGGAACTAGCGGTGGTTTGTTCGTTATTGTTAATTACAACACGATTTCCACTTTCTAAACATTGATGGCTTTGAAAATATAAATTAATTGTAGTAGAAATTATTATGTTTTAAGTAATTATTTTGCCTTTTGCGACTTTACAGTTAGAGAATTTGAATGAAGTTCACAAGGCGAGCCGAACTTGACAATGAAAACTCCCTTTCGATTATAACGACAGATGACAATGAAATAGTCAGACTTACTTAATGTAATTAAATCCTTGGTGAATGATTAATATTACGCCGAATTTGCACTATCTATATAACAATAAACAATACAAAAACGGTAGTAGAAATATTTTTATTTAATACATTTGAAAACCGGGTATGTCGGCTATATTGGTGTTTAGCCAATAACTTACACCCTCGCCTCGGGAAATTCTGTTTATTTGCCTTCAACCGATTTCATCTCCCAATCTGGTCGATTTCGATTAAAACCGACTCCTTAAAGACACTCGAGTACCGCAGGTTAACAAATCGAAATTTAAGGATTGTAAATATTAGCGTGGGGTGGATAGTTTTGGACCGAATAAGCTTTGTGTGCTGAAGCCCGCACCCGCACGGTTGGCTCGTTAATACGCCTTTAACCCCCAGATGAAAGTTCGCTCGAGCTATTAGTCTTATTAAAATTTAGCATTTTGACAAACCGGCTAACCCAATTTTATCAAACTGATTTCTTCCCTTTCTGGCTTTTCCTACTGGTTTTAATTAAATTGACTACACAGTTAAAGCTTAGTCTACTTAGCTTAGGTTTACCTCCAGTCCTGAAGTATAGGTACTCTACCTTATGGTACCATTATAGTACCTTTTGGAAAGACCACTGAAATTATAACAATCATGGAAAGATTTTTTTTGGGGGGTGGGAATAAGCTAAATGCTCATTGGATGAAGAAAACACCAAAAACGCGCCGAGAGTAATAAATATATTTGACATCTTCAAGGTCTAAATAAAATAAAAAATAAAAGTTTTTGATACCAGATGACTTGGATGACAAATACTTTTTCAAAATACAAATTAAAATTTATATTACTTACAGTAATAGTCTAGATTAAAAATTTACAAAAGTTGAAGTTAACAAGCATTCCTTACCGGCCTCAGAATGGAAATACATATTTCAAATGCAAAAATGTGTAGACATTTCAAAGAGGTTTTTTCAAGGCCCCTTTGTGTTGTGTGAATTATGTGACGAAACTCGCCAGGTTTTTGGTGTGTTCTTCATCTGATAACCATTCACCTGATCCTCATTCAAATAATTTCACTGGCCGATCTTTACTTCACATACACTTAAAATCAAAAAGTTTTACCGATAATATTAATGAATAATAATGGGGAAAATTTTATGTAAAGACATGCTTATTACTATCTTGTTTTATTAGTTTTATTATTAATTATTTATTTATTTTATGGACTAATGTCTTTTTACAGTATATAACAGCATATTAGCAGTATATTACAAAAGCTTACGAGATTTTAAAATAATTCAATACAGCTAAACAAATTTTTCGTTTAGTGTTAGAATTATTAGAAACAATACTTAATTAAATTAAATTTAATATTAAAAATATTGATATGAAATAAAATATAAAATTGACAAAAATGTTGAACGTTTGGTTATAATGAGTTTAAAACATCAAAAAATGGTTTTAAATAATATGTTCAATATTATTAATTATAAATTTCAAAAATTTGATCAAATAAAATTTTTAATTGCCCTAGAGAATGAGGAAGCATTAATGAGCGAGAGAGTGTGGAGTTGTAGCTATAATTATTTTCATAACAACGGACAAATGATAGGTTATAATTTGTGGCATTGTATATATTGGGTTGTCCGGAAAATAATGCAGGATTTTGGTATTAAACAAAAAAAAAGAAACTAGTTACTTTAAAGCAATGTTCTTTAATCAAANATTCATACAAATGAGTAATCCTGTAAACGTAAACAGAATATTTTATATAGATTTTTTTTAATGAAAACTTAAAATCCTGCATTATTTTCCGGACAACCCAATAATATTGATAACGGTTTATCCTGTTGAGATTAGCATCTCGTAACAGCATTCCAAAGTCCATGACATATTTTACAAGTGATACAGTCTTATATTATTACACATTATAGTTACTAGGACTTGGGAAAAAATAGGACTGAAACATTTGGCTGGGGAGGGCCGCGGTAGCCGAGTGGTTAAGGCGTCAGACTCTTGGCTAATAAATCCCGTGGTCGTGGGTTCGATCCCCACCCGGACTTTTTCTGACGCCTCAGTGAACCGGTGGCCGCAATTGAAAGAAATTGACACGGCACTCATCAATGGAAGGAGCGGGATCAGATCTCAGCGACCCTGAATTTGGTCCCAACCCTCTTCAAAAATGAGTTTCTACGATGGAAGAACACCCGGCACATCGGGGGCTCAAATTCACACTTGTATTGCGAGCCCCCCAAAAAATGGAGCCAGGGGTAAAGTACAATAAGCTACAGTGCAGCGAGCTGCAGTGCTCAGGAGGGAACTCCTCCAGTATATTGGCCCTTTATGGAAGAATTAATCCCGATTGGCAAAAAATCATCATAGACGGGCTGAACACAGAACCACAGACGGTAAATTCTATATTTTTCGCTGATATTCATGTGCTTTGTACAAACCCTTATTTGATTTTTACATATGGTTTCTATCCTAGCCTATACCAGCCTTTCTCTACTGCCTGTAGCACCGAACTATTTTCTGGGCTAACACTTGCTCCTGATCGGTGTGGTTGTGGATAGTTGGCAATGTCATGCTCATCCATAAAGCGGAGCAAGTAATTTCCAACATTATAACACTTTAATCAAAAGGAACTCTTCTTGTGCTGTCTAGGTCGCGGGGTGGGTTGGGTTTCTCGTTTTTCTTCCTTCGCCACTCAGTGGACTATATATACTTAGCCCAGTTGCGAATGCATATAGGAAAAAACTTGATGAAATGAAAATGCAGTCTATTTTCAACGAACAACTTGATTCGTACACTCCCATCGGCATTTTGATGCCTGTGTGTTCTCTCTTGCATTTGCTCATTTTGTAAATTCTGATAAAAGTAATACAAAAGGAGATAAAGAAAGTAGGGATTATCTACTATAATCGTAATGACGTTATTTTAAAATAATGAAGCCAAACACGTGTTAAAAAACCCGAGCCAAGGAGGATATGCAGACCAGGGTGATCGGAAACGTCCAAAATGCAGGTTCACCACCTTTTAGATATCAACATTTAACAATCACGAAAAGATTTCTAATACACAGTTGGGTACCTAATTTTTATCAGTCACCAATGGAGTATACAATATAACTTTTAATATATCAAAATATTCATTAATTTTTGTCAATACCAGTGACAAATTCTATTTAAATGTAACGAAAAACAAATTATTTTACTACTGTGACAGTACTTATAACATCTACGAGTCAAAAGATTATTTAATATTTAATAAATCCATTTTTGCATCCATTACTTTATTTATAATTGATTTGGGGAAAACATTCCCTTATACATTTCTTGAATTTCAATCCGACCGATATAAAGGCTTGGCATCTTGGATAAGCCTTTTGCTTCTAACGTGCTTTTTTTCAAAGCTTCATGGGCCTCTTGTTATGCTTCTTTATTACTAGGACAAGCCGCTTTCCAGTAAGAATTGTGGCTCCTTTATTGAAAGAAGTGGAGCCCTGTTATATTTATTGAGTCACATTTATTGTACTCTTCCTTTGAAAAGTCCCTGAAACAAATTTATACCGTTTGTGGTAGAGCTAGCCGCACGCCGTTGCCTGTCTTGCCATTCGGGATTTTAATAATCGCTTACTTTTTTTGGTGTGCCATCAAACCAGAAAGAAACCCAGTAAGCAAAAGTTAAGCTTAAGGTTAAAATTCGAACCGGTCTTTAATAAAAACCGCTATATTTTTCATTAAATAAAATTACTTAATACAGTCAAAATAATTCCGTTTAAAAATAATAAATTGATACAAATAATTAATTATTGCACATTTGGCAAAACAATGGTTTTTAAATTAATTCTAAAGGCTTTATTTTTAGTTTTTTTTCGGCCGGCTAGCTGCCTGGGCTATTGCCGGCACCCCACATTTCTTCCACCTCATCAGTTTTAAAAATTTATTTATTTTTATATTTATTNTGTGTGTGTGTGTGTGTGTGTGTGTGTGTGTGTGTGTGTGTGTGTGTGTGTGTGTGTGTGATATTGGCCAGTTAAGATTAGATACGTAAAAATTGACGATGATTCGAAGGATTTTTGCCTGCAACGTTTTGTTGAACCCCAGAGTTCGATGTCAGTTTTGATCGTTTACCCAGCAATCTTTTAAGAAGTCTGATTTAGCTCTTGTCTGTTGAGTCGCGTGTGAGGGTTCCACAAGTTGTCAATGTATGTCCAACATAGCAGCGGAAGAAGGATACTATTGTAGTGGATGGGAGCAGTGATTATTCTCCGAAGGGTTAAAGTGAAATGTTCGCGTTTCTTGTCATCTTCCGCTTGAACCACTGCCAAGGGATGTGACATAACTATGCAGGTTTCTGGTTGAAATAATAGGGTCTTTACGGGAGCAAAGGACGGCATCGTGGGCAGAGGTGTAAGGTCGCTTCTGGGAGAGTAGAATTGTCAGTACCGTGTAGAGGATGGGTCTAAGATCCTTGTGGTACCCCTGATGTGAGATACCCGTCTGATAGAGAGTGGCCACTGATGACTTGAAAGTATCTGTCGGATAGGTAGGATTTAAGGATCAGGTAGTAGATAGAAGGTAGGAATTTCTTAGGCTACCAGATGAGCCCCGTGCGCCATATCCGATCGAAGACTTGTTTCACATCTTACAAGAAATCTCGAAACTTATCTTCCCTGATCAATGAGGCCGGAAAAAGAAAAAAGTTAGTCAAAAAGAATCTAGTGAAAACGATGGCAGTTCGCTGGATCAGACAAAACAAGCATTTTATATTTTTTATATAAAAAAATTATTAATTGGAAATTTTGATTTATTCATAATGGCTATTATACTATTTGTATTAGCTAGAAAAGGCCTAAAAGGAAAATAGGTTACTCTCAGATGAACTTAAATAAAGCTTCAAAATCAACAAACTCACCGTTCATTCCTTTGATTGAATCGCCTAATAAAAGTATATCTACAAAAAAGAAAGAAGAGTCGGCTCAACGTTTTAATCAGAATCCATGGAAAGGATAAACAAACAGTTTAGATGGAAAAACATTTACTGTAGCACAATAAATTATATAAAAAATATAATAAATTTACCTTTATCTTTTAAAAAAGATAACTTTTCCTTCACAGGTTTTATATTTTTCTTTATCATATCATCATCTACAAATAAATCAATCAAAGGATTTAAATATTTACAACTATTTTAAGGTCCTCATTCAATTAAACATTTAATATTTTCAAAAGACAAACACAGGCTTATGTGAACTAACTAGTCCGCCTATTCTCGCTGTATGTTTGGGCTCACACATACTGAAACCTCTGATGAGCAAATTCAGAAACATGCAGCGAGGATTTTTGGATCAGAAACGACCAAATCAAACGAGAATAAACGTTCACCCATTACTAAAAGAAGTGAACATTTTGTAGTTGATCGGAAAAATTCACTTCTAAAAAGAGAAGGTTGTCATCGCCTGTCATCATTTACACCCACTGTTCAACTTTGACAACACCTCCATCCGTTGAAATCGAATATTTTCTTCAAATTACAGATATAAACAAGGTGGTTAATAGAGATATTCAATTAATTTCAAGTCAAATATGTATTATAGTGGTAATTATTGCATTAAAATTCTTCTATATTCATTGGTGAAAAATCATTGATGATGTTCATAATTTTCACAATTTTATTAACCTACTAGGTTAATTGGTCAGTTTTTATTCATAAAACTTCGATGTCATTATAAAGATTTTTTTTAGAAAGGAGCAGTTTATTTTTCTTTTTATTTAAAGTTTGCACAATCATAAAATTGCACGGGTTAATTTCATGTCCACCCCCTGACGACTATTTTTCTGTTCAATAATTTTCAGAGGGGTGCTACTCACGTGTACGAAATGGCGAGTGCGATGATGAAGGGATGAGAACCCATGTCTGCCCGATACCCATGCACTACTGAGATGGGGTGGCCTTCCGATCCGCATCCCCCTCGCAGCTTCCACCCAGTGCAACCAAGCGGCCGTCGACTAAATCCCGACACGTTTTCAAACCAACCCTCATAACGAACAATCATGCCCGTGTACATCATGAATTATTAATTAAAATTTATACAACAAACTGATAAAATTACTGCAAAACATTATTTATAAAACATTTCTCAGTAGTTATAAATAGGCCTTAACTCAAACAACTAAACCTTACAAAAAATAAACAAAGAATCTTGTGCGATTTGTGTCCCCCTCCTTAAACCGATAAATATCGGACAATATAAAAAACATGATCTTTTAGTTTAATGTTTATTATATAGTGATGGACAAATTTAACGCAGCACTAAATTCTTTTTTTTTTACTACATTTATTTTCATCTACAACTCTACATGCATTATATATAAAACCAGCAAATTGGATTTCAATTTATAATTTTGACATTACGGGCGTTTTAAAGAAAATCACCCATTGGATGTATAAAATGATATTAATCATTTAAGAAGTCCCTTATCCTTAACTTTTCGAACAATATTCTGTGACTGGATATAATTAATTTATTGGCTGTAATCTTTTTTGAACATACACTGACTGCTGTAAATATTAAAATATAGAAAAACGTTTGGACTTTTTTGGCAGAGATAAAAAACAGTTCCCGTCAAGATAAGTTTAACAATAAATTGTGCGGCGAGTCTTCGACGATCTCTCAAGACGACTGAAAACTAAGTAGGTCCTAGGAATTGCTCATACAACGAGAAAAAGCTATAAAAGCACAGAATTCACACGGAAAACCTTTCGGATGGGATAGGACGCGCGAAATTGTAATGATTGCACAAAAAATTGTAATCCACCGCTTGGGAACTTTCGTCTGGTGGCCGCTGTACCTTTAACAGTTACTATTAAACAAAAAAGGTTGTCATTGTTTTAATCTATATATGTGTTTAGCAGTCTAAGGCCTTGGCTTAGATGAAAAAGCAACTAACCAGCGGGAATCGAACCCACGAACTTCGGCTTAATACGCCGCAGCTCTAACCAGGTGAGCTTTCGCGACTTCGGTCCAGCCGAACATCAACTCCTCATCTCAACCTATATCGGCGAATTGAGCCGAAGGTCGTGGGTTCTTATTTCGCTCAACCAAGACTTTAGATTGAAAGTATAATCGGTTAAAATAGTTAATACGGTCAATTGAGATTGCTATATACATGTATAGATTAATATAATAATTACAGAAGTACTTAATTTGCTAACAGCTCTCTGTGACCAGTTCAAAATTCGCCGAGAATCAAGTCTTGATTACACATTTGAAAATATGGCTAAAAGAGGGAAAACATTTATGGATAGCAGGCAGTTGCATGTTTTTTGTGTTTTTTAAAAAGTTTGCGGGGCGTTTCCAACAGCAGAGGTCATTTGAATCCTCGAAGTGCAGGCATTGAAAAAAAAAATTGTAAGTATGTCGAAACCTTTCTCTATCAGTAGCTATGAGCGCCGTGACAACTCTGAACCGTTGCAGCCACCGACACCTCAATGTACCGTCAATACTTTATGATAGGTTTAAGTTATGGGGTTATTAACGTCCAAAAAAAACTGATACATGCTAAGCTCGCACGCTGTAAAAACATCATACTCTTGGAAGAATTATGTTTGTAATGAAAAAAAAGTTTTGTCATCGCTGATCATCTTTGGTTTTAAACGCTTAAATTATTGTTATTAATGGACGAGAAAATGATAGGTTAGTTCACGGCGCCGAAAAATACCTTTTATGAATACTGGATTGTGTTGCGGGTTTGGTAGACCTTCAGCGCCGTGAAATTAGTTGCTTTGATGGATGAAAAAACTGTTGGGATTTGAAGATCTCTGTGAAGTGTGTTATTGTTTACGTAAAAAGGGGCAGAAACAATTAGTCTTAGAATTTTGGATTGAAAATTTTGTAACCTTTGATTATTGGAATATTTGGCCGATCCTTGACACCCACATCCCAATAGGTTTGATGAAGTATGTGTCGAAAGTTTAGATTTTAATAGTAATTTTGATTGTCGGTTGAGTAGGTAATAAAGCATTTTAAATTGGTTGTTTTTTTTATATCAAATGTAAGTCCTAAATAGTTGACTTTTTCGGATAGATGAACATGTTCATTATATAAGTTATGCTAGGACAAGTCTCACGATGGAGCGTAAATGTGATATGTTGTGACTTTGACGGGTCAAACTTTATTTTACAAAGATGGCTCCATTTTTCAATTGTTGGTATGTAGTTTTCTAGCATAAGTGAAGCTTGTGTAGAAAATGGCTTTTTAATATGGCGGTGTCATCTGCGTCTATGGCGGTAAATGCATTCTCATTTGTGTGCGTGTCAGAAGAAAAAATTGTGTACAATAGCGGAGCGAGTATTGACCCTTGCGTCACACCTACAAGGACTTCTTTCATCTCGGAAATTTCCGATCCCTGGTTTATTGGGAAAAATCTTTCCTGAAAGTATGATTGTATATTCAGATAAGGCCTGGGGTAAAAGTAATTTTAATTTGTATAATAATCCCTCATGTCATAAGTTTAAAGTTATATTCATTATCCTTTTAAATTAATTACAGGTAATTAGGAGCTGTCGTAGTCAAAATAAATACTAAATAATGCTATATTTACGCCTCTTGTTTTCTGTTATGATTAATCACATTTGCACCAAAAGTAGCATTATGCCCTTCCTTCTGCTCCGCCTAAAAATCGCATTCAGGAAGTTTAGGAAAGAAAAATCTTTTTCCTTCGTTGATTTCATTTTATATTATTCTTATTCTTAAACCTTTTTCAATGGCTCTAGACAGGCATTTGAGTGAGTATGCATTTCCAGGGTCATAACATTATTAGTCGAAGGATACAGCCAGCGCGAAGTCGCCAGGACAGGGTCGACCTAGGTCTACAGACAAAAGAGATTCATATATCAAATAGATTCATCCGTCATCAGCTCTACGAAACCGTAGCATTACGGGAAATGAGATAAGAAATCTGATGACAAGTCCGAAATGTTTCAATTTTCTCCAGGACTATGAGGAAAATACCTTCAGGGCCTGGCACCAAGCTTACCACAGATCAGAAAATGGCCAGGGTTGGATTCGCACGGGAACATGTGAATTGGAAATTGGAAGATTGGGGACGAGTTCTCTTTACAAATGAGGTGATAGTCCGCCTCAAATCTTCATATGGGCTTAATATGGAGACGCTCAGGAGAAAGGTACGCCCCATGCTTCATAGTTCCTTAGGTGGCATTCCATGGTGGATCACTGATTTTCTGGGGTAGCATTTCCCATTGGTTGTGAGAGGAAGATCTCTAACTTCATACAGAGTTCCCTTTTATGAATGTTGCCAGGTCATGTGTACCTATGGTATGGTATCTGTGGTGGCACCTGCAGTTACCGCGGTACCCGCTAGTTGTCAATCAAGACAATCGAAGAACATGTGTCATTTACCCCCACATTGGTGATTCTTGCTAATGGAGGATGCCAGGCCTCATATGTCGATTTAGTCATTTTTCGATCAAGCTTGATGTCAGTTGAATGATCGGAGTCTTTCTTCAACATGATGAAAAAATAAACAAGTCTGACATATAAAATAAAAACAAAGCATCGATGCTTGTACACAACGTTTAATAAACAAACAAAATTGTTATTTTTAAAGTAGGCCTTGTTTATATTTGAACGAATGTTTTTTTTACCCGGAGCAAAGCGGTAAGTTTCTTTTTGGCGAGAAAATTTTCTGCAAGAAGTAATCACTCTCCAAAACATTCGTTCTTATTAGAATGTAATAGGCCAAACAGAAAAAGATTGGAAAGACGGTAAAGCAGATAAAGACGGTTGCAGTTAATCCTTTAATCCCTAGAAAGCTGATAGCAAACCTTACTTAAAATAGCCGTTTAGATTGAAATTGATATTTTTAACGTCTTTTTCTGAGACCGTAGAACCATTATTTATATAGGTACTGTTAAATGGGGCGCGTGCTGGTGTGGTCGCGAAATAATGAAAATAATTAAATAAACTAAAATTAAATAAAACCCCAATACCTGAGGCGAAAGGTAGTCCTCCTCGCCAATGATGGCTTAGATTACCACGATACCTGCTAGGTTCCCTCCGAACCTTTTCTATTGACAGCTGGCGGATTTCACTCCTGTGATTTTAAATTAAAAGAGCATTAAATAATCTATAAGTCTTAAAGCAAGGAATGTTAATACTTCTGATGTTACGCACAGAAGCAAGAAGCAAAAAACTAAGTTCCTCTTAGCCCGCATGAGAGCAAGTTAAGACGGGAGCAAACTACTTTATTGGCCATTTAGGAGGAATTAGGGCGCAAGGGATTGTGAGAAGCATTTCAACTTTTCAATGAATCATGAACCTTTGCGCCAACCAGTGCCTTTATAGCTGTAGTTTGTAGATCTGTGCATCTTTCGTACTTTTCTATATTCTATTTCTATTTCTATATACACAGAGTTGTATTGCATGGACTTCGGCTTGGAAAATTGTTGGGAGTCCAAGAGGCCTGACCAAGGGTAAAGCCATCCTGGGGTTGATTACCCAGTTTCTGCAGCATTTTCTTCAATTGAGCCTTTAAGCCAAGGGTTATACCTAGATATTTTGTTTCTTTATAGAAAGTTAAGGCCTCATCTTCTACAGTGGGTGCTTTAGATTGAGCTTCATTCTTCTTGTAAAAGGTATGAGATATGTTTTCTTACGGTTTATGCTTAAGCCCATTTTCTCCCACCATTTTGGGTATTTTGCATCTGATCTGACAGTGTCATCCAAGTTCCCTTTTATGAATGTTGCCAGGTCATCTGTGTAATCTATGATATGGTATCTGTGGTGGCACCTGCAGTTACCGCGGTACCCGCTAGTTGTCACTACCAGTTCTTGAATGGTCTCACCCACTGCAGCCAGAGTATAGCCATTTTGTATATAAGTAGAGGCACTGCCCTGCTGACTTCAAACTCGTCTACTTGACAAGGTCTCACTGCACACCTTGCGACAAGTCTTACCAAATAGGTCTCAAGAATCAGTAGTGGAGTCCCAACAACGACAACAATTGGCACTTGCAGTATTACTCTTGACTTTGCCTTGGCTACCGGCCAACTACAGAAACTGAGTCCTTTCAGCCATTGCAGAGTCAACCGACTCACTGATCACCCCATACCACTGCCAATGGCTTACTCGGTCCCAGCCTCAACCATTGGCTGTACACTACACAACTGCCAAAACTTCCAGTCACTAAGACATCCTAAGCTGTTCAGCTCTTTAATTAGATCATGTACTACTAGCAACCAAAGAAGTGATGATAGTACCCCTCCTCAGGATATCCGTTGATAGGTTCTATCTGTATTGTCTGATGACTAAGTTCAGCATTTATTTTCCGACTTCTTAGCATTACTAAAATCAAGTTTGTACGGGGGTCTAAACTTTTTCCTTGCAGTTTTGACATGGCTTTATACAAGGTGTTATAAAAAGCTCCCTCTCTTTCCTGAACTATTAGAGCGCTTAATAAGAACTTACTTTCTCTGCCACTGATGAAGACAAGCTGACAAAAGAGTCCAGGTTGTTCAACATGTATACAAATGTAGCACAGATAAACCAATATTTTAATGTTATAATTGGGCCATTAGTGGCTGCAACGGTTTAGGCGTTGACGCAACGCTCATCACTGTAAGGTAATGGTCCCAGGTTTGAATTCAGCGTCCCTCCACTCGAACCCAACATACTTACAAATGAGCTGTCAGACATATTCAGATTAGCTCCCTACTAGGGAGTATTCTTGGTCCCATCCTTTATATCATTTGTTCTGCTGACTTGTACACCCTAATACCATCATCACGCCGACCCAGATGATACCACAATTTGTCCAGCTGTTCTGATGACACAAATAGCTAAGCCTGAAGCCAGCAAAATAGTGATCATTCGATTCAAACAGTATATGCACACCGACAACCCTTTTTTATTGCCAGTAAATTATCAGGTTGCACATGGCAATATTCATATTTATTGAGCTATGGCTAAAAAAATGTTACAGGAATTATTTTATTTAAAAAAGTCAAGATTTAAAACAAATAATGTAATAACTGTTGTTATTCAATTATGGTTTAAAAAAAGAAATTTAAAAAAAAAACATTTAATCTATAAATATTCCGAGCCATATTGTGTAAATAAATCATTTATGTCACCAGTGGGAAATCTCATTATTGAATTAAATACATAATTTTCAATTAATAAAATAATCCTTTTTTTTGTAGGGTATTACAATTAATTGCTTAAAGTGGTGCCACTGTCACCCATCTAATCTGTGGTTATTTACATATGAAGAAATGGCGAGAGGGACAGGGCGTAAAGGGTTGCGTCAGGTATTGTTCTCGTCTTGAAAACTGTCTTGCATGTCCATCTCATCGTTTGTATGAGCAATCTGTGGACTGTTGGAACTCGGCGGGGTGCGTATGCTCACTTCTGACTCATCTGGCTTATTGCGTTTACCAAAACTGTGAAACTCGACTGGTACCTCTTCTCCTGGAAAAGTACAAATAAGTTGTAAAGTGGTTAAATTTAGAGGAGAAAAAGGGATTTACCTTCAAAAGGAGGAGCCTCGGCAACTAACTGTTCCATGATGAATGTAAGCATAGACGTGCTAAAAGTATCATCCCTTCTTAAACTCAAGGCCTTGTGGAAAGATTCGGCGGCCTCAGACGTCTGGCCGACTAGTGCCTGTACAAATCCTATACTCGCCAGTGTCGATGGGCTCAATGGTGCTAATACTAAAGCCTATAAAATCAAAATTTCCTAATACACTGTTCTCATTTAACATGTTATGGCCGTTGTTCTGGAACAGCGCTCCAAACCTTTCCCCTTATACAGATATCATTCCAGAACAACGCACCTCTTCTAGGCTCCGAGGCTTATTGTAGAGTGTTGGAAGTGTATTTTTAGAATCAGCTCGGTGTCACAAGTCTTTCTTTAGTAGTGCTTTGTCAATGCTATGAAAACTGATTTTTCATTTGACCTTTTTGAAATTTAGGATTTTTTAAGAAAAAAAATCTGGATATCGGAAGTATCATAACAAATCAGTTTCATAAAAAACATGTTAATACTTCTACCCCCAAACCTCATCTATTGTTAATTCTAACAGAGTTCAATAAAAACATACCTTTTTATGGTAAACTAATGATTTATCGTATTTCTTTAATTTACGACAAGTATGACCTAAATTGTTAAACAACGATTCCCATTTATCAGCAATAATGACATCATCAATTTCTTTCACCCTGGAAAGTGCTTCTTCAAAGTATTTTTCAGCTGCTACATAACTGCAAAAAACAAAAATATGAGTCAGTTTGTATTAAACTGCCTACTTAAAAACGGAAAACCCACTCGTTGTTTTGATAAGCGACCACTCCCATTTCGTGGATGACAAACGGATCTTTTGGAGCGATGGTCTGTGCTTGTAAAAAGAATTTTTCTGCCAATTTTATGTTGTTTGTTAAGCCGCACTCCAAGCCGATGTACAGAAGTGGCAAGTGGCACCTGAAAAAATACTCGACAACATGAAGATTCGCTCGATCGTTTTAAATAAACCGATGTACCCTTTCATTAATTGAGATGCTTTGAAATAGGCAGCCATCGCTTGATCGTGTTCATTTTCAACAGCAAACGAATGGCCGTAAACAAGCCAGGCCGGTCCAAAGACCCGATCTAAAGAAGTTGCTTTTCCTAAATATCTGCGAGCGGGGTCGGTATTTCCTATTTTCACCAGGGTCATTATCTATTATTAATCACATTCTTTTTTTGTTTGTATTTAAATTTTATTTTTTATTAAATGTACCTTTTAAATAATAATAACATCCAACTGCAAACCATGAAACTGCTAAATCTGGATGCCGATCAACTAAATCATGTGCTAAATAAAATAATGCTGAAATCATATAATTAAATCTTATTTTAATTTATTTTATTTAATACTATTTGTAAAAAAATACATTGAGTAAATAGTATAGTTATATCTGTGTTATAGTTATATATACGGATCTAACATATCTGTTTGACCAGGAGGCAGTGAGGAGAGAATCGAGTGCTGGAACTCTCTTTTATTTAATTGGGTGGGTTAAGATAGGTCACAAAGCATCGTCGTTTTAAACAGGAAAGAGTTAGGGCTAGGGTTATGTTGGATGAATAGTTTAGAATGGAAATTGAGGAAGCACATTCAGATAAGTTCTTTCATGAATGGGATTTTAAGATCTTTATGGATAGTTTGATTGGTGGTCTAGAAGGGAGGTAGGTGACGTAGAGGGATTGAGGATCCGTTGGAGAACTTTACAATGAAACTGAATTCGTTGGATATTGGATGATTTGGCTGAGCCCCACAGCTCAACTCCGTAGGACCAAATAGGTTTGAGTTATTCAACCTGATCTGCCACCGATTTTTTTTTTCCAACATAATGGGAGGGGAGTATTGTGAAAAAAGGGCCTGAGTCAAATGTGGAAATCGAACCCACGACTGTGGAGTCTATGAAACAAGAGTTTCTCATTCTAACCACTTGGCTACCACAGTCCCTCATCATAAATGTTCATTAAATTAAAAAATAACTGTGGAAATAATTTGTTTCAGATTACATTATTCAGCCATAACTCACCATTTCCTTTTTTTAATTCGACTAAACAGGCAATGTGAATTGGGAGGCAGGACATATGGTAAGGATCTTTGTCCAATACTCTGCAAAACATTATTGTATTCAAAAAATAAATAAATAAATAATGAGATACATTATTTATAGTTGCATACATACAACTGAGTCGTTAGAAAACATTCGGAATAAGCGCAGGCATAATAATGTCGTTCAGCCTTAGCAACTTCAAGGTCTAGATTACCCTCTAATTTTGGATGAACCTAAATTAAAAAATACACAAGATTATTATTGTACCAATTTTTATGAATAAATGTTGTTTATTTTTCATTACCTGGATAATGGCACGAGACGGTACATTTTGATACTTTTTAAGCAAGCTATCGTACAAGCTGCGAACAAGCCATTCTTCATCTTTAGTTTTGCATTGTGCAGCAAAGGGGAGGGTGGATATTAATTCTTTTTCTGTTAAGCATCACAGTGAACTTAAAAATCTGTTTAAAGACAAACTGTGATATACAATACCTTCCCAAGAAGTTAACATTTGGTGTTGGACAAGAGCTTGAAAAGCATCATAGCAATGTATATCGCATCTGAGCGCTTGTTTGTAACATTCTGATGCAAGGCTTCGATTGTCGAGAGCTTCATAAACGCACCCTTTAAGATAAAGTATGGCGCTATGGAGCTGCAAAATTATTTAATAAATAAAAATTGCCCAATAGAATAATTAAAAAGTTGACACTCACGTTAATAGTTGAAAATCCTTCCAGCGGAGTATCGGGTAGTTCCAAAATTGATGTCATGGTACCTCCAATTAACATGTTTCCATTATTTCCATCTTCGCCATTCAACAGTGCGAGGGCATCTTTAAACTCCTTCGCTTCCAGGAGGCACTTTGCCGCCAAGTATCGACATATCAAATGTGTCTGAAACAAATTGGCTTTGAAAAAACAAAATCAAACTTTCACCACTGGAACACATACTTTTTCTAGTTGACGATTTTTAATTAAGAGTGCAGCTCGGTGATATTGTTTTAGAAGGTACATGCATTGAGCAAGCCAATATACATCCCTTGGTTCACCGTCACTCAGCGAAACTACTTTGTCCGCCCAGAACAAAGCAGATGAGTACATTTGCTGAAAAGAAAAAGAAAATATTTTTTCAGATATATCATTTTTACACCAAAGTGAGGTCTGTACAATCAAAATATTGAATTGAGCATTCAATATCACTCTGGCAAACATATCTGTTCTAAGAACTATTATGTTGTATCTCTGTATGTCTCGTGTGGTTAAGTATGTAGTGTTATTATTTTTAATTTCTACCTGCCAACATAACTTTTACCCTCCGACATGGAATAATGCCACCACAACTACATAACATATCCCTTCCTACAGTTAACCATGTCCATGTGCTGTCCATTAACAAAAGACTAACTTGGAATCCCTATACAAGATTAAAAAACAGGAACTGACTATTCACCACAAAACACTCTCACGACTCCTAGACAAATGATCAGAACTGATGCTTCACAACAAACGATTGATATACGAGACAGTAATTAAACCCATTTGGACATTGATTGTGAGAACTTAGGCAACTCTAGGACTGTTATTGACCTAACAGCCCGTTTACACACTCAAGCCATTTGCAAAAACTGGTTTGCACAAGCCGTTTGTGCAAAAGAACTGAATGAAATGCTGCTGTTCACATGTTCAGTTTGGCTTGCACAATTGAAGTGAGGAATCCTTAAATTATAGTTTTCTGTGGCTCAAATGGAAAATTTTGACAAAGAACTAATTCTTGCAATGATTGTGGTTTGCATTATTAAAAAAAAAAGATCAAACTGAAGGCGAATAAAAGGAAATGGTCTAAACCATGGCTGGTAAAAAGGTTTTTTTTTTTTCTCATACCAATTTAGTAGCTGAATTGTTCAGTGAACATGATGATTTTTGCAACTATTTGTGTACGAGCGAAGCAACATACCAACATTCAATAAATTTAATTTCACCAATAATTTCAAGAGCAGACTTGGTTATGAGATGTGCAATTATCCCTCATGGACAGCTATCAGCTAAACGAGTGATTCCCAAACTTTTTTGGCCCATGGACCCCTTTTTATATCAAAACTTGCCCATGGACCCCCAAGTGATAAAGCTACACAAATGCATAGTATAAAAATTACAAATTAAAAAAAAATGTTGAAGAAGTATTTACTGAAATTATGTTTTGTTTAAAATAAAATTTAAAATAAAATTAATGACCATGAATGTGATGAGATGTTATGAGTGTATTTATGTCTGGCTCAATGTTTGTGAGCAGCAACTGCAAATCTCCACGAGCACTAATTTCTAGTCTTCACCAATAGTGTACGGTTTTCCGGGCTTTGCAATCAATAAAGAAATGTTATAAGAAGTACGCAGTCCATCATCATCTGGCTTAGATGTCCCTATGAGTTGTTGCAATGACAGTGTTTTCAAATATTTTTATTGACTGTTTAAAGAAATGTTAAATCCTTATCTTTTTGTCCCTATGGATTTTTATTAAATGCTGCTTAAGCTTGAAAGGTTTCATTGAATCATTTGACATAGTTTTGTTACATAGAAGACATAGGTAAAGTACTATATCCTGATAATGAAATAAAGCTATATTTCAAATATTCAACACAGTATTGTCAGCATTTTTTCTTCGGCTCACTCATACTGTTATCTGTAAAAAAAGGGCACAAATGATATAAGAAAATGTGTATATCAAATGTTTTATTTGCAACAAACCACTGTTACTGCAACAAACAACACTGTTACTGCGTAACACAGAAAACAAACACTTTGAGTGAGTACAAATACTTTGATTGAATCTAAAATTTCTAGCATTGCATAAATTAATTTCTTTTCACATCCTAATGTTTTGTAAAATTTAAACAATGTTTATAAATCCCAGGCCCTGAAGATGATCTTAAAAAGATCGAAACGTTGGCACGATAAAGAAAATGTTTTTCTAAACCTACATCACACCAGACCGCATCTCACGATCTCCACAGAATCATTTTGCTTATTCATTTAGCAATATGGTTATAGTTACAAGTTACGGCAGTTACTTAGTTGTAATAGTTACTGCTTATCTTATCAGTTCTCTTACTCATTACCGAGTATTGTTTTTGACAAATTGCACCTACAAAATGTACTTTTAATTCATTTTTTGTTTAATTGACGTATGTGCTTTTGATGCCATTACACCTACATTATGTAGTTATGACTCCAACTACTACTTTATGCCATTGACTCATTTTACATTTCCTGGTACAGATAGAAAAACCATAACCGGCTCATTTTACTTACTTTGGTTAATCCCATGGGGTCGGCTCAATTTGACATCGCCCGATCCAACTTTTTAAAAAAATTAAACAATACACTCATCCCACTTTTATCATTTCTATTAAGGTCAGAACTTGTCTTGAGTGTGATGAAGTTGGAAAATAGCTGAAACCCCCTATTAGCCATTCAAACGCAAATGATCACATACTTAAAACAATAATTAATCAATTAATAATAAGCTTACCAGATCGATGTAGGACCTGACCAGCTTGCGATAGCTGTCAACGTTGATAGTTTTATCCGAATCAATCTTCATCTCCGAATCGGAACCAGTTGGCATTATACGACGGAATCGAAATTTAAAAAAGTTTTCCTTCTTCTGGAAAATTCATCGAACGATTTGAGTCGAGGATCGGCCGGGCTAAACAATTCTACCAACGATCGCGGGCTCGTCAACCTGGTCGCGGAGGTTACGCGAGGTTTCGACTTTAGAGGGAGCGAGTCTTCAACCTTCACCCTGATTCGACCGATTTCACTATACCAAAAAAAAAACTGAAAAGGATTCTTACTTTAAATTATGTCCGCCGAATTAAAAAGACAAGTGAGTCCAGTATTTATAAGTTTTTCGCATTTTGCTCCCGGATTTTATTTTCCGTCTTATTTGATAATTTTCTCGTTTTCTGTGCAGGTCTTGCATACTTTTAAAGTCCTCCACAGGACGAGGCTCAACGTTTTTAAAGGCGACGACAAAGCTTTGGCCGGTAAGCTGTTTAATTTGTTTACGTTCAATTGTCACTTGCTCACATTGAATCATTTTCCTAGCCGCAAGAGAGAGGATCAATTATGAATTTAGAAAGAACAAAACACTCTGCGATGACTCCGCCATTAGAGACGTGAGTTGATATTTTCATTTATTACTGCTTAAGTCCAGACAGGCGAAGACAATAAAAGACATACCGCACACGCACAAGAAAAATTCTAGAAACTAGATTATTAAGGACAGCGTCACACTAGATGGAATGCAACGGAAGTTTCCACTGTAATGTCTCCATCGAGCTCCATTGTTGCACCAGCGCCCGTTGATGGAATTTTCCGCTAGGTTCCATCTAAGTAGGTCAAAACAGGGCAAAGGGGTAGAACAGAAGTGGCTGCGGGCTGTAGTAATTCCGTTCAATTCCAGTGTATATGTGGCTTGTTCGGGTTGGGTGGATTTTTCACCATGAAATTTCTGTCGCAGAAACTTCTGTCACATTCTCTCTAGTGTGGCGCTGGCCCAAGGGCTGACACACGTAGCGGTTTTGAGCGAAGCGTTTACTGGAAAACGGAGTTTTTTCCTCCCCGATGTGAAAATGCTCATGTCTCTTCGGTGCCAGGGCATTGGTGATGCGCAGCACAGGATGCACCTTCATAGACCAGAAGGTGGAGAGGAAGAAGCAGTCATTGGCAATTGGGTGTTTTTAGCCATACAGCTGTGTGACATTGTTATTTTATTGCCACTGAACTGGTACAGTGTTTTCCTCGGTGCCAGCTCCCTCATTTTGGTGGAAGTGTTTCCATTAATGAAAAGTGTCACATACTGGTCACAAATGGTATTGGGGATGACGTTCATTGGGGCGCTTTGCTCCGTTGGTCTATGCTCCACTACACCATCTGGGCTGTCTGCCTTTCCCTGTATATTGCTGGGGTCTGCTGGACCATCCTGTACGACATGATATACACCCATTGTGTTGGAAGAAGGGGCTATCCTTAATTGGCAGCAACGCTCCTTACCTTTTCTAGTTCGCTGGAACCTGTTCCTCCACGTTGACTCCCTGACAGAAGGAAGGACGTGATATGAAGAAAGATAGATTAAATTAAACTAAATTAAATTAATATGATATACATACATTGGACCATAAAGTGAATTTAATTTACATAAGTTGAACAATAAAGTGACCTGGCCAGGGTCAATAGATTAAAGAGAATAGTGACAAACTTGTTACAGGAAATTAATCAAACTTTACAAAAACTTAGTTTTTAAATGTTTTTCACTGTAATTGACAATTAAGAGAACAAACACTTCAAATTAAAATCTTATTGGAAGACGTGAGCCGCCGAAAGGAAAGATCTGACCTGTGAACAGCAAAATGATGTGCGGCGAAGATTTGCAGGCGATGTGATTTTACAGCAATGAGCGGGCTAACAACTTCATAATCCGGCGGTATGCTCGTAAATTGTAACTTCGATTACAAATTGAGATTTTTAAAAAAAAAAAGAATTAAACAACGCGTTCGTTCACTCTCAAATACTAACTGGCCAGCTGGACCCCGAGACCTTTTTTTGTTTTTCGTCTCCATGGATATTTGAACAAATAAACAAAGTTAAAAAATGAATAAAATTCTCTCCGGCGTAAACACCCATTAAGACAAAAAATTGACCACCATTATCATTAGAGCACACAAACAAATTTAAATTACTGACAGCCAATATATGCAAGAAAAATCATAACCAAAAGTGGTAGTTTTTAGGGGTAGTACAGCTGGATTTTCAAAGTTTTGTGTTATCATTTAATTCTTGGACAGACGAAAGACAATATTGATAGATAATGGCTAACAACCTAGTGCTTATATACTTATTATATAAACAAAAAAGTAAACTTCCATCTGTCTCTTCTGTAAAATTTTGTTTTGTTGAGTTGTGTCACTTTTCTTGCGGGTGTGCGATATTCACTCACAACAGAATGACCAGGTTGGTTTTTTTGGTCATTCTACACTACAAAACATAGGACACGTCTGCCATTTCTTATTAATAGGCCCTGGTTTCACACAAAAAAATTAAATATATTTTAGTTCAATTATGTGAGTGAACTACTTCAACTATCATTTCACAGCACTCTTATGTAGATTGTAATAAAAATAGAGCAAAAGCTATCAAATGTTATCAATAACTAAAAAATTTCTAAAACCAAATATAACCCACCTCTAGATATCCTTTAAATATAAATTTTTCGTTTGAATTTAAATTTATCAATTTTTTAACCCCTAAAATTTTTCTTATTTTTAAGAAGCCGTTATAGGAATGAATATCTGATTGAAATAGCTACAATTCAAAAAACAGCTAAAAGGATTTTAACATCAAACATATCATTTGAAAGAAGAGTAACGTAGCTTTTTAACAACATATAATCCATTATCTTTCTACATATTTACAGGTAATTAGGAGCTATCGGAGTATAATATAATAAATAAACAGTAAATAATGTTTTGTTTACTTTTGTACTAATTAATCCCGTTTACACAAAAAGCATTATGCCCTCCCTTCTGCTACGCCTTTCAGTTAATCTTTTTCTTTCTTTGATTTCATTTGATATTCTTATTCTTAAACCTTTTTGATTAGCTCAATTTGCATAAACTAAATTTAATAAAAACAATATTATTAAGTTAGAAAACATCTGAAGATGTCTGTTAAATAACCGCAATTTTGCAACAATTATTCATATGATAATTAGTCTAACTTATTCTAGTACTTTATTTTTTTTAAGTTGATCAAAAATCAACAGGTCCTGGAGGCCCCTTAACATCTTTTTTAATTATTATTTTAAATTGGTTGTCTCCTCACTGAAGTGTATGATAAAAACCATATGTCTAGATATCCAATATGGAAAAGTCCTCATCCTCGAGGCTAATACACTTCCATCTGCCCCCCCCCCACATTGGCTGTGCATGCTGAGGCCCGTACAGCATATTGTATTACTGGTTTATGTAATTGAAATGTCTATTGAAATTCATAATCTTACATGTCCACTGTTTTCTTATTATTTGCATACTAATGTAACTTTTAAACAAGGTGTACTGTATTTTCAGATGGTTGTTTATGCCCAAGAAGTAGACGAAGAATTAAAAACAACAGTGGTCCAAGCTCAAGAGACTGATCCAGGAGTTTTCGGTGAGCAAGAATAAAAAACCAGATTATTCTTTCATATTGATATTTTATTGTAAATTTAATTCTTAGCGCTGCGTATAACACCTGACACTACAAAGTTAGATAACATGCCTTTCAATCCGGACATAGATATACCAGAACAGCCTTGTTGTAAGCAAATGACTCCGTGCTGCCGGCAGATGAGACCCTGCCAGCAAGTTGCAGCAAGCAGCACTCAAGTTAAGTAAACCAGTGGTTTTAGAAATAAATTTTAATTCAGAAATGTTATGTGATATTTATTCAATTTTATTTAATGAAAAAAGTTATGCTTATAGGAAAACAAATTTTTCATTTTTTTTCTATATATACAAAATTAATTGTTTTGTGTTATTTACATTGTTTTGTATAGTTACAGTGTACCAACATACTCTGCACCATAGTATGGATCTAATATATGTTTATGATGATTGGTAAAGTTTATCTCCTTCCTTTTCCCTTCTTCTTTGTTGCAGCTCCACTCTGGGTACTGTGACTGCCTTGCTCCCCTCCTTGTTTTCCCTGTCTGGTTTTCAGCTTGGGGATCATGTTGCAAAGGTGCAACATCACAGATTCTCCTATAAACATGTAAAATGAAAAATTCTGATAATATAAATACATTTTAATAAGTGTCTGCAAAGGAAATGAATGATGTTGGGCAATAGATTAATTGGATGGCTACAAAGCAATTTCTTGTGATAGCAACAGCATTACAAAACAATCTTAAAAATAAATTAATTAAAAAAGTGATCACTTACGTGTTGGAAAATCAGGGTTGAGGGGCTTTCCATTATCGTCCTTTAGTTGGACTCGGATCCTGCCCCTGTAGAGGACCTCTTTGCTCGTCTCCCTCGGATAGAGCTTGTTCTCTACGCCAAACTTGATGCCACCAGCAGCAGTGAGGACATCTTTTATTTCCAGGTAAGTCGGGTTCTCAACAGCTTTATCTTTTGGAACTCTTCTCCCCCCTGCAATCGTCTTCTTGCTGTTTATATACGCTGGATATATGCAGATCCATCTAAATAGAAAGCGTTTTATCAATAGAAAACCAAATTGTACATTAATTTTTGATTAGTTTGATTATCCCTCATCATTTTGTTCTCCCTAGTCTCATTTTACTCAATCAATAAAAATGGCATACATGTCTGACAAAATAAAAATAGGAATGCAACAAAGCTAATGCACCAATATTTTATAAAATTATTCATATCCATTATACTAGGACATGAAAATAGTCAGTCGTGCAAGTAAGTTATTTGCATGTTGCAATAAAACAAAACTGATTTCAGTGTAAATACATCAACATGCCTCACAATCAGGGGATGGCAGTACAAAGTGGATAAGGTGTCAGACTATTAGCTAGTATATCCCATGGTCATGGGTTCAATTCCCACCATCAATTCTGAACTTTTTCTGAAACACAAGGGTAGTGATGGCCACAAGGCCTCAATGAAAGTGGACATGGTACTCATCGATGGATGGCCCAGGGTGGGTTTGAACATATACATTACATACACGTTGTAGCAAGCTCCAAAAAAGGAAGCCAGAAAAGGATTCAGTAGGATGTTAAGCTCAGGGGGAATTCCTCCAGTTCCTGGTATCTACAATATAAAAAAATCATGATCGTTCTTAACCTCTACCACTGTAACTAAACTGACAAGTACACAGTACAGTTGAAGTTTGTATTCCATATAAATGGTATGCTCATACAGCAATCATTGATGAGTGAGTGACAGAAAGCTCCTATAGCAATCATTGGTCAGAAAATGACATTTTATAGAATTCACTAGTTTTTGTGGTCTGCTTGACCAAATAATATCTTTCAATTAATTAATCTGTATTTAAGGTATTGGTTGAGTTAAAAAATAATCATAATTGATGGGATTATTGGGAATAATACATGATATTAAGCTTAAAACTAAGGATTGAGTACAAATTTAATGGTTAATAATATTAAATAATTCAAGAAAGGAAAACTGACTTCTTAAAGCCAACCACAAACCAGTGGATTACTAAACGTTGACAGCTGCATTGATACATCGAAAAGGATGTATGCAATGCAAATAAAGTCGTCGATTTTCATCCCAGTACATCAACAAATTCATTCACATGTGAAAACTTAAATGCTTATGCGCGCTTACCTCTCTCGATCGCTGTGCTTTTTGTCTGGGCTGAAAGCTGTCACAGGCAACGCTGCCATCACGGATTACAGGTAATCTGCTAGCAAGACTCACCTGAGTGTCTGTTACACACTAAAATAACCTGACTTATTGAAACCTACCGAAGCCGATTTGCCACATATTCCATGGCCAAATCGTGATGATTAAAATGAACAACATTATAAATCTTGCAATTTGTTCATTTTACTAGATTATTATTAAAATTTTATCATTAATTTATTCAGAAAATTTTCTGTTAATTAAATTTCATTTGAAGTTTTTATTTTATAACTGTATTATAATTTGGTAAATTTACAAATTCAAGAAACTTATATAAATAAATATAATATTATCTCCGCTTTTATAACATGCTTTGAGAAGTTTGAACATATTTACTTATAAATAACCGCTTTTGGTAGATCATTATAAGAAAATTGTTATCGGATAGGCGACAAGTAGGTTACCTTGAATAACCTGTGTTTAACCTTGCGATTTCGATAAATTCGAAATCTTGCCTTAAATAAGCCTTGATATTTGAGTGAAAGGTCAGATCAAAATAATCTTACTCGATGTGATGTGATATTCGTTGTGAATTTGTTATAGAAGCTTGATGAAAGAAAATGGCCTAAATCTCCGACATGTATATAGTTTTTTGAGATGATAAGGAAACACGCATCCCATTACCAGAGAGCACTTCCAGGATGAATTTGTTTAGGAACGGTATAGGGCTGGCCAGGAAGGCGACGAGAATGAATTCTTCCCGCGTCTTCTATTCTTGGCCGGTCACATGTACTTTTCACCAAAAAAGCTTTATCGTTTTGAACGAGGACCGATCCAGGCAGGTCCGGCGGGCTTCGACGGGTGTCAAGCACGGAGGCGAGCTCACATTCGCGGAATGGATCGTCAACAGTTCCTCGGATAAGATCCGACCTTATCTGAAGTTGATGAGGCTGGACAAGCCGATCGGGTCGTGGTTGCTCTTCTGGCCTTGCGGCTGGAGCATCGCGCTCGCCGCGGATCCCGGCTGCTTCCCCGATTTGAAAATGCTCATGCTCTTCGGTGCCGGGGCATTGGTGATGCGCGGCGCGGGATGCACCATCAACGACATGTGGGACAGAGACATCGACCGGAAGGTGGAGAGGACAAAGGATCGGCCGTTGGTCAGCGGCGCCCTGTCCATCACTGATGCTTGGGTGTTTTTAGCCGCGCAGTTAAGTGTGGCGTTGATCATTTTATTACAACTGAACTGGTACAGTGTTTTCCTGGGTGCCAGCTCCCTCGGTTTGGTTGTAATCTATCCGTTAATGAAAAGGGTCACGTACTGGCCACAACTGGTATTGGGGATGACGTTCAATTGGGGTGCTTTACTCGGCTGGTCTGCACTCCACTCCTCCATCGACTGGGCCGTCTGCCTTCCCCTGTATCTTTCTGGGGTCTGCTGGACCATCCTGTATGATACGATATACGCCCATCAAGACAAAAAAGACGATACACTACTTGGGATCAAGTCTACAGCTTTGAAGTTCAATGACAAGACGAAGCTCTGGCTCAGCGGTTTTGGTACCGGAATGATAGGCGGACTCTGTACATGTGGCATTCTCTCTGAACAGACTTGGATCTACTTTGGAACCGTGGGGGTCATTGCAGGTCACATCGTTCATCAGCTGTATTCGTTGAACATTGATAATGCAATAAACTGTAATGAGAAGTTTATATCAAATAAACAAATAGGTCTACTATTATTTATGGGTATTATTGCAAGTAACATGCTCAAAACAAAAAAACATAAAGAATTAGATAACATTTCAAAAACTGTGAAACCAAACTAGTCAAACTAAATAATAATTGTAAAAAATGTACAATATTATCCTCCGTTACCACTTATAATGATTGTTTGTGATTTTAGTTTTGTAAAAATACAGTTTTTAATTTTTTGTTTGTTAATTTTATTTCTTAAATAGTATTGAAATGTTCTTCCTTGCCAAAGTGATCAAATATTTATTATTTATACATAAAGCTGTTAAACAAGAACAACGTATTCACAATGTATTTTTTTTCTTCCATAAATACATACTTTAAAATTTAAATGCCTTAGGCATTTCATGACAGTATGGTATAATTAATTTACAGAAAATAAACTGTTTAAAAAGGTTATGTTTTTGTCTAAATTCTAATTCTTATACAATTGTTCTATGTTAACCTTGATTACTTTTCAAAAATTTGACATTTCAATGTAATGTATGCAAATGTATTTTCAGTTTTGTTACAACTACTATAGACCATCTCTATAACGTTTTTTGTTAACCAATGAGAATAAATGTGTAGTCATGATAATAGTAATATGGGAAAACAAACTCGGAAATAAAATCAATTATCTTCAGTTAGATCATCTTTTATTCCATTGTTAAAAAAAAATAATAATTTATAGTATGTTGAAAGAATTGTATGTGAAAACAATACCAACAGAAAAATGAATTGCATGAAAATTTATTATCATGAAAAATACAAAATACTTTTTTTTCTCAATTCTGGCTTCCATGATTCAGATTTTTTTCCGTATCCTGTGTGCTTGCTTATATAGGCAATTAAATGTATTCTTGTTTGTTGCTTGGTTAATTTACTTTGCAGACTTAATTCCTCATTTCACTTCACTCAACATTGTGATTTGGTCTTTCTGTTTGAAATAGTTTAAGTGTTTAGACGGGCCTTTCAGTCTATTATTAAGTAGTCTTTGTAATTACATATTTGTCCAGTTACAATCAACATATCCAGTATTCTGCACCATGTGCCTACTTTTGATCTACAATGTGGCCTAGCATCTTACAACAAATGAGGATATATCTTAAAAAGGATCCTTAATGAGTTCAAAGTTTGGTGGAATAATACCCCAGGCATTAGGCATGTGAAGAGATTCATAGTAGGACTATCCTCAAAACTTGCAAGGGAACTGCTGGGCTGGAAGGCACCAGTTAGGAGTACAGATAGAAGAAGCACTTGCAGGTTCTACCAGGAAGAGGAGATCACAGAACACATTTTATATTTTTTGTGAAGGTATTTGTAGGTGCAGATTTTTTCAACTAGGAGAGGAAAAATTGCAAGCATGATCCTACGCTAAGGAAAAATAAGAGCAATAAAGCCAGAAAATATTATTAGTAGAGTATTGTCTGGTAAAAGATAGTATGATACAGTTTGTACCTACATGGAGACTGTCCTGAAGATAAAAAAGCAGCAGTTGCATAGTGGACATATGCAGTATCAATAGAACCTAAAGGAATAAGTTAAAGAGGCATCATCAAGATGTAATGAGTTTGGCAATTTTTTAAAAATATTTTAACCCCCCCCCCTCATGAAGTACACATTTTTTTATAATCATGCTAATGAACACACATTTAATTGACACAAAAATGATAGTGTTAATTAATTATTATGCAAAAAAATGCAATTTTAAAATCTCGCATGTATATGTTTCTTCCAAACCTGCAATTTTGGAAAAAAGATTTATAAATTTGCATTGTTTGTGTGCTAATGACTTTGTACGAAAAAAATTTTACTTCTTACAAATTATATACCTAATATATTATAACTATTAAGAAGCATATTGTCCAAAAAGTGCTTTAACTGACAAAATTTTGGTTGTCAATTTACAAGGAAATATTTATTTGAAACCACAATTTATAAAACACTCATTCTTTGGAAAAATATAATTTAATAATTAAGAATAATCAAAGAGAACAATCAAAACAACAAAATCGACAGAATGAACTACTGTATAACTATTAAAATTTTAAAATAGTTATTAAATTGTTGTTTTTAGTAAATAAGAAAGTTCAAGCGGTTAACATTGGCAACACTGCCTAAGATGGATCCCTTTTGGCGGTGAGGCTGTGACTTACCTTCTCTTGATTTTTCCTTTAATGCAGCAAAGTTGAAAAGAAATGGGTGAAAGTTATTTTGTAAGTTATTTTTAATATGTATAACTTGTTTGTAAAGGTGAGATGATTGAAAATAGTTCATTATTTAAACAGAACATTATTAAGTAATGTTCAAAATAGCAAATTTCCTAATTGTTACCCGATCAGTTTGTAAAAGAATCCTGTAACCTGACAAATGTGGCACAATGGTTGTTGAAACAGAATAATCTTTAGAATCTCAGATTCTGATTATTTAAATCAAGCCATGTAAAAATAAAGTTTTGTTGTTTTAATAAGTCAAGAGCTTTTCAATTGTCTTCACATAATAATATGTTCAATCATGTTTTAAGTCTGACAAAATGCAAAACAAAAATCAGCAGTTACAGAGGACATAAAATGTTTAATGTTATCATGTAAGATTTCGTCCATTTAAATAAACAGAAGAACAACTGTGTAACTGATAGTTGTTTAGTATGGTTTATGACAGAGGATTATTCACCCCACCTGTAAAATTTAAAACCATATTAAACTTATGATTAACTATACAAAAGAAAGAATGACCGTAGAGAGATAGAGGGATCCACCAAATTTGAACCATAAGTCATTATTTTCCATAATCCACATCAACTTTTTCCTTCATATGAAAAGAAAGAAGTTTTCAAAACTCAATGGAATTGAGAAAAATCAAGTAACTGCGATTTTTACAAGGTGTGGTTTTATTTACATTACTAAGATTATCCCCATAGTTCCTTGCATTTTCTGTTTTATTAGATTAAAAATAGTAGGGGAGAAAAGTCAATTTTTGAAAAACATTTTGGTCTCGGCGATCTGGACTGGTTTAAAAAGAGTAAAATTGTCCGTTTTACGGAGGGTAAGATATGGGAGTGTTTATGGGAGGGGTGGGGCAAAAGAGGTCAAAAGGTACAGAATGAGAAAAAGTTTTATGTCAAAAAGCACATTTTACATTATTTTTTACATTACTTTTTATGACATTAGAGTTACATAGGAAGGCACTATTATTAAATGTAACTTATCAAATTTGTGAGAGTTCAGCGAGAACTGGCGATTATAGAAAAAGAGTAAAATTATACGATTTATGTTATTAAGAAAGACAATAAACACTCTGCCGCTATTTCCTTTTTCGCTTGATAATCTGTAGAACGGGCTTATGGACGGTTATTTCTTACCCTAATGAAATTGCCAATTTGAGTAAAAAACGCACTATCAAGTTCAGTAGAAAACATCACGATATACGGAATCAATGAGCTTATTTCCATTCCAAAAAAGTCATCGTTAGTTCAATTAAAGTGTTATTCATGAATAAGTTCCAACCAATTTTGGAGGAAAAATCAGCAGTAGCTAACAGTTTTGTACTAAATAATCATTACTAATCGTCACCAGCAGCTACTTTTTATCTGGAAATACTCGCATTCTGCGTGGAACTATGTCATACCGAGAAAAATCGAAAATGCGCAAACCAACCATAAATCATAGGAATTATTTTTTAAACAATGATAGGATTTACTAATTTATGTTTATTAGAGAACTATTAACTTTTTAAATTTTTGTATTTTTATTTACGATGTTTATGATGATGGTTAGGAAATAAATTGTCTTTTCCGCAATAGACATTTATTTCGCCAAACGCGTTTCGGTCTAATGCAGACCATCTTCAGTGGCTTTTTTTTATATAAAGTAGTTTGACGGTTTTTTACATCGTTGTAGCTCAGAAGTGGATGTCCGGACGACTATTCTTGACAGACGCCAAGTCCATAGTCATCCAGCATCCATTTCAGAGGTTACAACAATGTAAAACTCTGGATCAAGGTATGATCTCGAAGAAGAAGAAAGCCAATTTAGTTGCTAATGCCATGCTTTGAACCAATTATAAGGTCATCATCAGGCCAAAATAATCTTAAATATGTCTACAGATTGACGTATTTAAGGTTGTTTTGCCCTGATGATGAAGATGGTGTATATTAGACTGAACGTGTCTGACAAAATAAAGGCCTATTGTGGTTGTTCACTTTTATTTCCTACTCATCATCTTATTATGGACTTCTACAAAATCAGGGCAGCATCAAAAATTATGTTTTTCCGTGTAATTTTTTTTAATATATATAAATTCATATTATCCCTTCATTATATCAAGGAAATAATCTAGATCTAGAAATAATTGAGGTGGAGAGACTGGTTAGAAAGGATAGTTCGTCCAGGCTTCTGGTATACTACTAGTACTCTTTCCAACCAGGAAAGAGATCTCCTTTGAGATGGACATATTTTTTATTCAAAATGCCCTGAGATAAGACGTCCGTCGGTTTTTCTCGCAGAAATTATAAATTTGATAAATAATATGCCAAATGAAACTTTTGTCAAGGGGATTATTCCGATAAACAAGCCGGGCAGAACGTTGTGGATCCACTTGGTTTATTTACCTTTGCGGTATTTGGATTGTCACATGAAGTTTGACCCTAAAAGACGGTTTTACGCTTTAACTGCGTGAACTAACAAGGAGTCAGTCGAAAGATGACCGACGTTTAGCATGTATCATGATAACTAATACCATCGTTTATTAATATTACTAATTGAGTCTGCTCTTACAATTCAACTGATACTAGTGTATTTTTTAGACATTTTTATACACATATTAGTAATATTTTATTATTGATTTACGATTTCTAACAAGTTTTTTCGACTCTAATTGTTATATAAATTGAACGCCACACAAAATGCCTTCATTCCCTCAGGTAACTATTAGTTTTATCTATTTTTTAACGTTTATTTTTGCCAATTTTATTTATGTATATTAGAATAATTACAACTTTTTAATTGATTGGCGATTCGGATATACACTAAAACGTACATATTCAAAATCAAGTAATTTATAATCCTAACTGATTTTTAGCTTTCTTATATAATTATATTTAAAATAATACATACTTCTTTAAACTAAGTTAGTTCTACATTAATCCCTATTATATAATTATACGTTATAACCAAATTTTCCAATTATTTTAAGCGCATATTTATTTAAATATATTTTTGAGTGATTATGTAAAAGACTTTAAAATCAAAAACTCATTTTTCTTGTTTGACGATTCATTTTTAGAAACGCATTCTGTAATCTTTTATTCCTGGAATGTCCCTCTGAATACCATAAATAATCTGTATCGTTCATGAGCGACCGTTTTCTTCAAGATTACAAAGAAAAGGGATTAGCAAAAATGCATTATTATAATATATACCTTTCTTACTTTAAAATTTACACATCAGTCTTACGCACGTACTGTACTAAATATCTAATATTTAGAGTTCAAAATTATTTTTTAAAAAAATACTTTAAAAAATATGAACTATTTTAGTCATAATGCAAGTAGCCTTCGTCATGTAATTATGTACCAGCTCACTAAAGTTACAACGCACAATTTTTTTATTTTACATTTTTATTTTACAATATGTGAAACATTTGGTTAAAAATTGATCCAATGAAATCATAGCAAAAAGGGGGAAGTTTTTCCGTTTTTAAAACTGTCATTCTGTAATTTAGCCAAATCAATCAGTTGATTTTTGACATATTATTTACAAAAGACCTCATTTTCAAATAATTCGATGAGTAAATTTATTGTGGAAGTCATAATTTTTCATTACTCTTGGAATAGATAAAAGGGTTTCTGTAAAACCAGAAAATTGTTAGCATTCCTCCTCAGCATATGCAGCCGCAGATGAAGGGTTCCCTTAAGTTGACGGTCATCTTTCCATGATTGAAAATGTAGCTTGGTCGTTTCTTTCGCTGATTTTTGATCTGAAAAGCCAAGATAAGGGTAGGAAAGCCAAAAATATCGTAAACGACCAAAGTACAATTCTACAAATTCATTACCCTGCAGACCTCAAGAAGAAATATGTGTGTGTGTGTGTGTGTGTGCACAACAAACAGCAAACAAACTGAACGATTGTTATAATAATTTATTTTCATTGATGATAAATATCATTTGCTCGGCTTCACAAATCAGAAAATTATATGATGATTCTTGTTTAATGTGTTTCATTTTTTAATATCTTACTCACGAACTACGTATTTTATTTCGATCATCTCAACTTGCAATTTTTTGTTTTATAATTAGACATTATTTTTATTTTTTAGCTTGTAGCTGTTCGTTAAATGCTATCATATTAATATTTATAATTATTCAGAAATCGTGAGATGCGGTCTGGTGTGATGTAGGTTTCAGAAAAACATTTTCTTTATCGTGCCAACGTTTCGATCTTTATTGAGATCATCTTCAGGGCTCAAAGTGTTTATCTTCTGTGTAATTGTGCCATTCTTGCGTGTCGTGTTGAGAGTGCAGGTGTGTGAAGGCACTCTCAACACGACACGCAAGAATGGCACAATTACACAGAAGATAAACACTTTGAGCCCTGAAGATGATCTCAATAAAGATCGAAACGTTGGCACGTTAAAGAAAATGTTTTTCTGAAACCTACATCACACCAGACCGCATCTCACGATTTCTGAATAATTATCAATTAACGGTCACTAATCACTACATATTAATATGTATATTTAAATCTGATATCTCAGATTTTTTTATAAATACGCACGTACATACAGTGGAGCGACTTTCCCTCATTTAATATTTGATGTATCAAATTTACATTATTTCTCTCATGTTATGGAGGGTTTAATTTTTTATTTTAATTTTGTCCTCATTTTCCATTATCTTTGACAGCGCTTAACTAGTAAGCAGCTGGCTAAGTTTTTCTCTTTTCTTTTTGGAGGTTGATAAAATTTACATTTTTAGGCGACGTGTCATCAACAATTGTGCCATAGTAAAAAAGTAAAGTAAAGCAATTCCTAATACACAAGAGGATTTAATGTACAACCCAGTTAGTGCCAAGAATGAGGGGCCGGATCCACTTTACTTTTCCAAACAAAATTCCAAGGGCTGTACAAGGATTCGAACCCAGAACATCTAACGTGGCAAATACGAGCTTTTGTGCCATAGTTACCCAGAAAATGTATTTTCCTTTTTCAAAAAATAAATAATAAACTAAACGTAATAAAATTAAATTCAAAATAAAAACCTAATTTAACTGAACTGAGTTTTAGATCTTGAGGTCGACCACTAAAAAATGAAAATAAAAATTAGACTAAAAAATAGTTATGATTTATATTTAAAATTTTTGTCGGGTATCCTTGTTTTTGAACAATTAAAAGGTATTTAAGTGGCCACATTAGTTGACATAATAAAACAAAGTAAACAATACGTACAAAATTAATTAAAATTATTCTTTGTTACAAATTCCTAATAATATGAGTTCTTATCATATAATAAACGTGTATTTGTAATTTAAATTTTGTTTAAACAATTGATTCTGAAGAAGTGTCGTATGTTGGTCCTTTGATACATTTATTTTATGCTTGCTCTTAAGATCATTTAATATATGTTGTGACAATTGAGTCTCGATCGTGCCAAAGTGATTTATATGTTTTAGGATTTTTGATATCTCACTACTCTCAACGACCGTTTTTTTTTTGTTTTTTTTTAAGATTAAACTGTAAAATTTTAATTACTGAATTGACTTGCGATTTTCACTCTGGCTTATTTCTGTTCGCCGAGCTACGTGTCTATAATAATCAATAATGATCAAAATTAAATCAGGGATTCTCAGTTTATGGAAATATTGAGTGTCAAACGAATTAGTAAGTGGGCGTTGACGGCATCTGTTTTTCTATAACTTTAGTATCACAGCTCCCTTTGGAATGTGTGACACATGGCTGGTTCTCTATTTTGTTCCTGTACGAAACAATTTCTACGAGTCTGTCAGCAAATATGTTACACTATAACATTTTTTTTCTCGATAGATGTATGGACGAGGTGATAATGGAAGCTATCAACGTGGAGAAAGTATTTCGACACAATTTTCGAGCGCTTCATGGCTTCAGAACAGTCCTTCACCGTTTAACACTCCTCCCCCAAGAGGTAAGAGTACTTTATTATAAGCATACCAATGGTTAGCTTCTGCTATTTCTTGCAGAATTTCCTCCCGTCTTACTTTCCTTTGAGACTTTATCAGCGGGGAATTCAAATAGTAAAAAAAAAGTTTTAACGATTTTAAATAAGTCAAAAGTTTTGTTTTACATTTTATAAAACATATATTTTTTATTTACTTTTTTAAAATTATAAGTATTTAAAAAATTAACTCTAATTGTCTTAGGGGTTTTATTGAAAAATGATGAATTTCTTTGCAAATCTTAAGTTTTAAACAGTTTGTAACCGTCTGAAAGATATATAATATACACATATGTCAGTCGGTTTCAAATTCGTTTTGTTTCTCATCATGGGGTATTTGTTATTTGAGAGTGAGCGCGAATGAGAGAAGATACGTAAGAAAAGGAGAAAGAGTGAGAGAGAGAGAGAGAGAAAAAAGAGAGCGTGCATAAGAGATGTCTTATTAATACTGTAATAATTCCCAATTACCCTTCTTTTATACTCAGTGTTTGTTTTCGTTGTAGAATTTTTATTCTCGGTAATTTTAAATATATTAATTTCGGCGAATGTATGGCTTTTTTTATTTTACAGCCTGCTCCCTTTAAGGTGCGGGCTTTTCAATTATAAATAATACAATATAATTTTCAAGTTTAAATTGAAGACTACGTGGCAATTATCATAATTTATTTTTTATAACTTTTGAATTTTTTGAAAGTCTACGTTATTAATAAATTTACAAGTCTTGCTATTGCATAATTCATTATTCTCCAGTTTAATCCTGTAAAGATATTCGTTGTGTTTGTGTTATGATATTTCCTCGATACAACCGTCAGAAAAAATGCTTTTCCACTTGACTTCTCTTGCAGCATTCCATATATATTCCCAATCGTTCCGCATGTCAGCCGTTTTTACGCTCGTGATCGGTACGTTTTCGACTTTAACGTGAAGAGATAAGTCCTGGGCTGCCTCTTTATCCAACCTATCCGTCTCTTCTCGTAAACCCCCTGACCCACGAAATGCCCAACTTCCATACTTTCGAGCAGATAACTCTTACAGCTATTGGCGTGTTCTTTACGAAACGGACAAATGGTTGTTCATATTTGCTGATAATGTTATGGACAATTGAATATCTGTCCATAATCTGCCACTTTTTGACTCATTGATATCTTCTCATTTCTAACTATTCAAGAGCTACAAGAATAGCAAGTGCCTGATTTTTTGAACATACATCAGCCAATTACTTGATTGTTCGTTCACAAACAATATTACCCATACTCGTCTGAAACACGACAAAGGCTCAACACAGTTAATCTGTCACAGTCCTTGGCAATGTTGGTACTTAGTCGGTCTTCAAGGAAATTTGAGATCGCCTGTAAAAAAACAAATATGTGAATCTGTAGATATATTTAAGATTGTTTTGCCCTGTTGATGACCTTAAAATAGGGCGAAAGATTGGCTGTAACAGTTGAATGTGCTTTCTTCTTCAGGACCATACCTTGATGCAAGTAGAAGATAGTCTGGTAACCCTTAATGAAAGAATGGCTTATGACCGCAACGGTTAGAATATGCGGATCTCGGTGATCAAACTGCCATCAGGGCAACTTCAAAATGATTTATTTGTGGACATTTGTGTGATGAAAAGGGATAATCTCCCTTAATCCGTCGTAAGAAGGCTTAACGCTTCAGGATCATAGGCATGAATCGGAAATAATCTTTAACGGAGAACAGCTTTGAAAGGGGAACCATGAAATTATGGGGGAAATAATAGGACCAACGACTTTATTCTTTATATTTATTTTTTTTAAAAAAAGGCCTGATAAAAAATTTTATTCTGATAATATGAGCGATGGAAAAAGCCTAATTTATGTTCAAAAATTCCAATTATTGTTCCGTTAGAGTAATAGGCACGTATATTCATTCCATGTTCAGTCTCATGTTTCATTTGTAACATTAATTTTGTGCCATCTTTCAGGCCTCCTCACTGGACCTTTTCCCTTTTGATCAACGACGCCTTTTTTTACTTCTTACGTAGTTTATCTATAATAAACTTTTATTTTTACATTTTTAAAATTGAATGAATATAAGCCGCCGTTGAATCGAAATAACATAATTAATATAAACAATTAAAAGGTCTTGAAGTTAGCGATCAAAAAACATCAGGTTTAGTACGTTATTCCCAATACACAAACCACTTCCAAGAATAATCCCTTACTTTAAAATAAACAATTATTGACATTATTCCAAGTAACTGTTGCACGGAAATAAAAAGGGTAACTGTAAATAAATTATACATCAGCTGATAAAACAGGCACAAAATAATTTTGTTTTTTCATCAATAGAATGTTTCAATTCTTCATATCTTTCAAACCCTTGTTTGTGTTATAATCGTGTTTGACTTCTACAGAACACAATTGTAAAAACGTACGATCTTGATTGTATTTGTAAATAGAAGAACAGCAAAATATTCAAAGTAATGCGTTGATCCTCATAAATCTTTATATTTTTGCAAACTTTTTATTTCCAAAATTTCTGTGTTAGTTTTTTTGTTATTTTTAAAATATTACCTTAACGTGATTGTATGGTTTATCATGAAATAAAAATGCATCGAAGTTGCACAGGTTGTTTTTGTAAAAACTGAAATATAAATATAAGTTTTTCTTAATTAAACAGTTCTAAAATGAAATTACCATAATTTTCTTCTCAGCGTCAATCCTAATCCAAATTTATTTAATAAACTATTCTTAACAGTTGATGTAAAGCATTTAAAATATACATTCTTTATTTTTATTATTAGATTATAACAATCTTATTCCAATATTATAAATTTTCCAGAAAATGTTTGTTTAAAACAAACAAAAGCTTTGTTTTAATTAAATTAACTTATTCACCATACTTGGGTGTTACCTTATTATTTCCTGTTAGCAACTTACTTAATTTTATTATTGCATTCTGTTCTTCTAAAAAGTTTATTCATTGTACTTAACTAACGTCCAGTGTGTATAAACGTACGTTTTTAATTTTTGTTTCAGGTGATTCAGTCGAATCAATTTCAGATCTTATAAGTAATATGCCAACTGCAAGGACTGGAGACCGTTTGCCTCACTTTGAGCAGGTGAATAATTAATAAAAGTGCAATTATGGTGTTGCTTGTTTTGGCTTTTTTCAAATTTTGATGGACAACAAAGTTGTTTAAAAGCTAATATTATTAATCCAAAAAATCTACTACTGAACAATTGAACCTGAGAAAATAAAACCCCTTGAAAAAATTCATCATTAAAAGGCATTCTTCTTTTGTCTGCACTTGCAGCTCCTCATTGAAACTGTGTTCTATTATATAATAATAAAATAATGATTTTGAAATACTTCATTATAAGTTTTACTTTGTGTAAAACTCAAAGGTTATTTATATAAATATATTGTATATGTTATATATATTTTTTGTAAGTGATGCCTGGTTTATTGGTTGGTCATTTGGTCATTTTGTTAAATGCCCAAGCGTGTAAAATTTGTTCCTAGACATATGTAACAACATTTTTAAATATTTGTATTGTTTTGCACAAAACAAATAATTTTAGAATACTTGTTAATGCAGAGATTTCATGTCTGATTATACACAGTTATCCTACATAATGGTTCTTTTCCGATTGTCCTGATTAATTTATATGGATCACATTTTTTTTTTCTGCATAACATAAAGGAATGCTATATTATTCCAGAAAAAGAGAACTTTTTGAAAATAACAGATACAAATGTAAGTATGCATGCCTCTCGGCAATAGAATGTACAACATGCGCCCACCATTTCTGTGAAAAGAGAATACATGATCTTGATATTGGAAAATTTAGTATTTCAATATGATTTATAAAAATTATTTTAAACTGTCAGCTGTTTTCAAATCTTAACAAAACTTTCATTTTAAACAGAAGCGCCAATTTTCAGTTTTTAACTTACATGTTTTTAATCTTGTAATAAGTTGTTTTAGTGATGAGTGTTTTCATTTTTAGTGACCTCAATCTGTTGGTAAATACTTTAATAAAATATTTTACATTTACAAAAAGCAGTGTAAGTTCTAACCATTAGAACTCACAACTGTGTATAACAATTAAATTATAACAGTAACCCCCAAAAGAACAAACATATTCAAAGGTAAAATTATAAATTTCTATTAAAATTTTTGGAATCCATTATTTGTACAATTACATTGTTTACTTTAAACTTATAACAGCTTAATATGAAACACCTTCTCCAAGCATCATTTTTTTAACCATTAAACTTAAATTTGTTTGATTATTTTAACAATATTTGAAAATTATACATTCTTTAGTCAAATCACTTATTAGGCTCTCTTTTTGCCTTGATACATTTGAATTTTTATTGTTGCATTTCGTATATTTTTTATTTTAAAAAAATCAAATTATAGATATGATTTCCCTATAGTAAAAGCTAAGCATCGCATAGTTTTTTGCCCTGCATTATTTACAGTTTGATCTTAAAACTCAGATGATATGTAAATAATTTTTGACAAAAGTGATAAAAAAATTGATCTGAGAAACAGCTTACAAACATTTTGAATCACCTTTTTCTATATTTTTCAAAAATTAACTTTTATTTATTTCAATTTGAAAATAAAATGCAAATAAGTGACATTGGATTTTTCAGTTTTTTTTAAAACCAAGTTATAGGTTAGGCAGGGAATGTTAGTAAAATTATGTTTTTATTGTTAAATATGAATTAAGTTATTTCAGAATATTATGAAAATCAATATTAACACTTTTTACTATCTCAGTATTCATTTTGCCCTTCAATTAATGAATATCATTTACACAATTGACAAGGCGTAGTAATTTAGGGATAAGTGTTTCTTCTAGGAACATTCCCTACCAAACCTAACCCACAATATCCATAGCCACAATATTAATAAATATGTTTTCTAGATGAGAAGCTGTCTGGATCCTCAGTTACAAAGCTGTCAAAATCCTGCGGACTATTTACCATGGACACACCAAAATTCAACTCCTTTTGATAACACACCTCCCCCACAAGGTATAAAATTATTGATTACTTATGTAGGAAGATGAGATGAGAAAAAAACATTCAAAACTATTTCAGGTGACTCAGTTGATTCAATTTCAGAGCTGTTTTCCTTGAACATGCCAAGAGGAACCCTCCTTGGCAATTCTAACCCATTAGCGCCTCACTATGGTATTAATCAATCAATTGACTCAAATTCATCTTATCAGGTAAATGATCGTATGTTTTCATTTATTCGTTATTTACGTATTACTTACTGATTTTAACTCTAAAACATAAAACTGTCTCATTCAAATAAGTAATTTAGTAAATGATGCATTTAGTATGTTCAAAACTGGGGAGAAACATGAAATTTATACCATTAAAATAAGTTTGTTATGGTGACAGTCTATAAACATTCTCACCCCATACTCAGCTTCAATAGTTACATGAAGGCCATCACTCAGCCTTATTTGTTAACATTAAGATAGCGTTACATTATGTGAATTTTTATTCACACAGGGTGCTGGTTTACGTTATGGAGGCTACCAGATCCATCACTATGAGCCTCCACACAGCATGTCAACTCCAAGGAAAGTCCTGAAGACACTTGACATGACTCCGACTTCTCCTTACCCGACCATGTCACCAATTTGCCCCCCTGTGAATTCACCAAATCAGAGAAGGTAAACATTATTTTAAATCCATTTATGTTTGGTGGTCTAATTGACCATATTAGTTATTTCAATTAATTATTTTTTTATGTAAGGTCTTGGTTAAGATGAAAAAGTTTTACTAGCTGGGAAAAGATTTCATCCCAACCAAGACCTTACATAAAAAGAATAATTATTTTAAATATTTACATGCGTATATGCTACCAATTTGTCTTCCAAAATTATACAAAATTATACAATTTTCTGTAAATGAAATGGAAAAGTTTCTGTAGGCATTTAATAAGCTCTTCAATTTCATTGTTTTCTGATAATTTTCTACATTTTAGTGGCCGAAGCAGCTCTACAGGAAGTGTAATTGTTTTCTCACAGTTGAATTCTCCGACTGATTCAAGCACCAGTAAGTCAAGTAGTGATCAAAGCAGCCTTAGCATTCCAGTAAGTCTGTACACACAAACTTTGACGTTTATCATTACTAACGTGCCTGATCCATTGGACAGAGTACTGCTCAGTATGCTGTCCAGCCAAGCACGATGGCATGCCAGATGTCCGAGCAAGAATGGGCCAACTTTCAAAACCTTTACGCTATACAGAGACAGGAAGAAACTGATGCAAATATAATGAACAAAATTATTGAGCACACAAGCCGGCTTTTGCTTGCAGCCGCTGTCAACTCTGAACCCAAGATCGAAGATCCTCAGACTATATACCAGAATGTCGCATTGGATACACTGCAGAAATTTCAAAGAAATTCAGGTACTTTACCCTTCTCTAAGCTTTATTTTTGACAATATGACAAGAGTTATTAGATGGAAAATCTAAATTAATTTGTATTATGAAGATTAATTTGTAGTGTTTAGTACAAAATTTGTTTTTAGTAGTGCCTCAGATGAATGTCACTACTTGGAGTGGACAACTCCCACCTCGGATTCACAAAAACCCTACATACTCGTCAAAGGTATGTCCCTAGTAAATACTACACATTTTAAAATACAATTATGTGCTTGTGGGTAATTTTAAAATTCTATATGTGGTTTACACCATTTGCTGTTTATTGGAAACATTTATTTATTTTGAAATGCAAATAATTTAAAGTAGATTAATTTCTCAAAAGGTGTTCCTCGGAGGCGTCCCGTGGGATATAACTGAGCCAACTCTAAAACAGGCATTCAGCAAAATTGGGTCGATCAAGATCGAATGGCCGGGGAAAGACTTAGCAGCAAATCAACCAAAGGGATACGCTTATATAATATTTGAAACCGAGAAAAAGGTTTGACACTATTTAATTTGAGATGGCTAAATTTAATACTTACAATTTACAGGTAAAAGCCCTGCTTGAATGTTGTTCCCATGATTATTCAAAAGGTGGTAACTGGTATTTTAGAATTTCTTCCAGAAAAATGAAATCAAAAGAGGTACAGATTTTATCTTCAAACCTGTGTTTACTCAAAATTTGATTTTAATATTAATCGTATTTTTTTTTTAAATAAATAAATAACAGGTACAAGTGATTCCTTGGGCAGTAAGTGACAGCAATTTTGCACGAGCATCTCAAAAACTTGATCCACAGAAAACTGTCTTTGTTGGAGCTTTGCATGGCATGATCAATGCAGAGGCTTTAGCAAAAATTATGAATGATCTTTTTGGGGGAGTTGTATATGCCGGTAAATATTATTTGGATTCTCAATTCTTCAATGTCTTATTAAAATTAAAATAAAAAAAAACACATTTAAATGAATAATGTAAATTTAATGTTTTACAATATCCTTTAGATGAATGATTTTTAAGGCGTCATTTAAAATTGTATTTTATTTACAGATTTGTATAATTTTAAAATAAAATGGCAACAGTGCACATAAATATACTGTTATTACCAGCAATTATATTTTGTAGGGTTGGACACTGATAAGTACAAATACCCAATCGGCTCTGGAAGAGTTACTTTCAATAATCACAGATCATACATGAAAGCAGTAGTTGCAGCTTTTATAGAAATTAAGACTTCACAATTTACTAAAAAAGTAAGTTGCATCAAACAGGTTCATCAACTCATTGACCACATAATCTCTCAATCTAAATTGATTTTCAAATGTGAATAAATGTTTTCAGGTGCAAGTCGACCCATATTTGGAGGATTCGCAATGCTCTTCTTGCTCACTCCAGCAGGGTCCTTACTTCTGCAGGGAGATGGTGTGCTTCCGTTATTACTGCCGTGGATGTTGGAGCTGGCAGCACTCGAACGAGGGAATGAGGAACCACAAACCACTTACAAGAAACTCAAAAAATACCAACATCGCAGCGTTGTGTGCCCCTCCACACCTAATGCTACGGTAAGGATATCGGCCAAACAGACTGTAACAGCACTTTTCAAATGCTTCCTTCACTTTGTAGGGACTGAAACCCAAACCGATCCAAGACTCCCAAAACTTCCAAACTGATATTGAGGTTTTTTCTTTTTCTTTTGGTGAAGAACAGATGTGCCGGAAGAGCACCATTGAGGGATTTAGTAGAAAGTTATTTAAATTATGTTTATGTGGTGCTTTAACCCACATATTCTTCATGTTTGTTGACATTTTATATATTTAATAATCTTAAAGATTTTTCTAGTGTTCGTATTGTAAACTTTTGTAAAAATTCTGTGTTCAACAGTTTGCACACAAAAATAGTTAAATATTTATAAAATATATAAACTTGAATTTTTAAGTTATTTAATATGAATTTGTTAAGTATATAGACTTTTAAAAGTTCCTATGTTATTTATTTATTATTATTAATTTAACATGTGTAGTTACAAAATAATATTTGCGGTGTTACAAGTTTGCTGTAATATGTTTTATCATTTTATTTGAGTATCAAAAATGCTTGTTTACAAAGTGGCAACAGTTTATTTTATTTTTTTATGTTGAACGGTGTCGGTTATCTCAATTTTTGAACAAAAAAATTGTTATTAAAAAAAATGTATATGATACATCCATATTCCTGTTATTAGTTCCTACTTATTGGTCAAAATTGGCTATTCAATACTTTTATTTGTTTTCAAGTAGGAATTTTGTTTATAATTTTCTCTGTTAGCTACATCTTTACTGTTATTAATGTTTATAAAATGTTGAAATTATAAAGGTTTATCTTTCTATCACATCAAATCATACTGAATAAAAATTTTAAGGGCTCTATTTGAAAAAGCAAAGACAGCTTATTAAAAAAAGTTTATATTATTAACAATAACTATTTACATTTCTACAATAAACAGTTGCATTAAAGGATAAAAAATGTATTTTTAACAATATGAATAACATTTTAAATATTGTACCGTTGGTTAAAAAAGTTGTTAAGTATATGATATTACAAGATCATAAAACCCTGTGGTTTTAAAGCATGATTTTATTATTTCAATTACCTGGTCATTGTAAAAATGATGTAAAAAAATTATTTCATACTAACAATTAAATGACAATAAGTACACAAAGTGACCAGTCTTCTGAAATTTATTTGCACAACGACTGGTAAATGCTGAGCAAAGAAGAGAGTATTCCAAGAGCCCCAGTCTGCCACTGTTTGAGCTTGCCCGCCCAAAGTACACCACTCGGCAGCCAGTGGACTGCATGAACAAAGTCCAAGAAACAACGAGTGGCAGTTACAGATTTGTTCAATTGGGAATGAGAAACAAGGTCATAAAAAGGTACATTCAGTTTCCTGGAAGAGTTTATTAATTTGATTTGTTTTATATTGTGAAAAAAAAAAGATAAGAGGATTGTTATTAATATATGAAATGATGTTGAAATTTTAAGCTCGTTTATGTATTTACAAATTATATACATGCTTGTTAAGTTTAATTTCAATTGTGTTTGCTTAAAATTAAAATTATCTATAAATTGATGTTGAAATAAAATTTTGCACTAAAACAGAGTTGTTGTTTTTTATAACTCACCTAGTCCAGTGATTTTTATCCAAGGAACTGGCTAATTGTTTAAGCGATGACAGAAACCTACTTTGTAATAACGATCTGGAAGTGAAAATGAAAAACGTAAAGAATAAATACATTCCAGTTTAATTTTTTTCAGATTTTTTTAATCCATTTAGGTAAAAACTGTAATGATAGATAATTACAGTTCAATATAAATAAGAAGCATACCCACCATCATAAATAAATAAATTATACGTATTGTTTACGTATATNAAATATATAAACAATACATAATGTTATAAAGATTAATCCACATTTGCCATAATGCAGGGATATCCAACTAATTGTAGATTTTGTAATAAGTCATTTCTTTTTTTTTCTACATGTATTTCATATTACAAATAGGATTACAGAAGATATTTGCACCAATTTCCATACAATACTTACTTCACCATCATTAAACACATAGACAAAGCCCAGCAAAAGCTGCTTGCTGTCCACCAAGGGCTGCTTCTTATCGATATCAGTTTGCAATCAGCTGCCCATGCTATGTGCTCTAGGGGGTAATAAAGTTGGTCTAAAATATTTATCATTACACCAAGAATCCTCAGAATAGCTCTAGGTTCCTATAAACAGACATCGGGCGTTTATTACTCTTCAAGGGAAAGACAAGATCAGAAAGTGTGGTAGATGCATTAACAATTTTTTCGAAGTTCGTTGAACCTTTTTTTTGGAACTCCATCATCAAAGTTGAGAGAGTGAGAGTGAGTGAAAAAGAGAGTGTGAGTAAGAGAGATAGTATGTGGGTGAGAGATAAGCTTTACTCTCCTCTAACCCCAATCCTGTGGTTGCTTCGGAATATCTGGAGGGATGAGTAGCAGATTGGTGTAGTGTAGACTATATAAAATGAAAATAAATGAAAGCAAGAGCATCGATGCCACAATTACGCAAGAAACAAATCTCCTTTCACAATGTACAACAACGTTCCCCAAATCTAACTGTGCACGCCATCTTGGTTCCACCTAGACTCCCGTTTAACATGGGATCAGCATATACGACTAAAAATTCAAGATTTACACCAATGCTTAAACTTTTAGGATAACAATCCAAGCTATCAGCGACAAACTAACTTACAATTTACAAAATGCTACTACAACTGATTTGGACATACGGGACAGAACTGTGGGGAATTGCTAAACCTTCTAATATCTAATGTCTCAAATCCTTTCAATCTAAAGTCCTGAGATCACTTATAAATGCTCTGTATTATGTCATCAATATTATCCTCTGCAAGGAACTTAAAATCCCATTTATCCAAAATATAACCGCCCAAAAATTTACCAAGTTCCACGATAATCTCTTCCATCAACTCAATAGTCTCATCTTATCCAGCTGAACCCATCCATACTAAAAGGCGTATCAAGAGGAAATAGCTCCGTGACCTCCTTTCCGAGGAGTAGGAAGAGAACTTATTTAATGAAATAAAGTGGAAGGATAGTATTATTTACTCCCCTCAATGGAAATATATCTGTGTTCATCAAATTACATATTTTAATCAAAAATTGCAGATTGTAATAAAACACTGAACAAAAGAGGAAAAAACATGTTTTCATTCATATACATTGTAAGTATATTGTCATCATATTTTTATGTCAAGTTAAATTGAAAAATAGTATTTGTCATACAGTTTCTCAGCAGATTTGTCACAACGGTGCAATACAGACATTCCGACTGGTTTGGACTTTTGCCAAGATGCAATTTCATATCGCCCATCCAGTTTCATTTAAGGCTTAGCGATCAGAACCTATTTAACGTATTACTCCATTGTTAATAACTATACATAAAGAAAAATGGCCTAATAGCAGAAGAAATAATTAAAATGGAAGAAAGCGTTTCCAAAAAGTATTACCATACAGAAGGAAATAATGCCTTTACAGTTGAGTAAGAAACGATTGGATGAACATGTTTAAATGGTTAATGTACAATTTAAGTTACATGCCAATTTTTAGTATATAGTTTATATATTACATCAGAAGCATCCCCAGAAATAGCAAGGAATGGAAGCGTTAACAGCCCACCGGAGGCAATGCACCCAAAGTATCGGAACAAGGAACCTGACAATAGATGACCTACCCAGGCCTCACTATGCCCTAGGCCGTATGAGAGGGTATAACTCAGCATCGGAACATCGTCAAAGAGCCTCAAAACCGTACGGCATGAGTTTATCTGGTCGCTGAACACGTTCAGCTTGTGATTGAGTGATTCCCACCTCGACACTCCTGAAATGTACTGAGCCGAATAATACAGGAGTCTCATGACTCTGTCCCTTCCTCCGTAACTTTCCAAATAAACGACGATGTCTTCTAGAGGCATTTTTATGTGAATTTATGTGATGGTTGTTATATTAAGTCCGGCCCTGGTCGTTATATCGCCTTTGATTTCCCTTTTTATAAATAACGAGTGTGAGTTGTCAGCATTGTTATAACCTAACGTACCTAAATAATTACAAAACTTCGAGGAGTATTTTAATTTCTGAAGATTTTTATTTGGATTTTAAATGTTAATACTTAATAATTATGTATGTAGTTGTGTTGTAAACACCGTAATTCGACTACAGAACTCATTGGCCATTGAGTAAAGTATGATTAAATTTCCTGCCCAAATCGCAGTGTAATTTTGACGCCTTACTTTCAAATACAAACTGAAGAACTGTTTTTATTTATTTATTTTACAGAAAGCCTATTAAAATTAAACAATAGTTATATACTTAGAAAGAGCTAATATAGAGATTCATCATAAAACATAAAAGTTAGCTGGCAATGCTTATGTTTTATGTATGTTTATACTTGTGTTTATTTTGTGGTCGTATAAAAGAAAAGAGGTTCGTTTTAACATATGTTAACGTTTCACATACGTTCTACAACTTTCCTTACAATCGGTAAGAGTCTGATGGGCGTATAGGAAGTTGGATGATGAGCCTTTGTTAAAACTTGAATCTGTTGGGATTTCAGGACCTTATATAGAACTATAGTAAGATCAAAACTGGAATATGGTTGCAGTGCTTATGCATCTGCAAAAGAACATATACTGGCAAAATTAAACCCCATTAGAAATACAGGACTCGGAATTGTGGCAGGAACTTTCCGCTTTACAGCCTGCACGTAGTCTTGAAAATGCCAGTGAACTGCCACAATCCTACAGACGTACAAGACCTCCAGTACTTTACTGAAATCATTTCTACTCACTCGTACCCACTAAACTCTTCCCTAACATTTTTAACATCACCAACAATAGACATAAAACATTTACAGAGTATTGACATATACACAAAACACAATCATTAACCTCACAAATATTAAAACACCTACCTTCACCCATTCAACCTTGGACATTATATCTAGCACTAGCCAAAAGCAGTACATCAATGCACGAATACAAACAGTAATTCCTAAGAGTTAAAAGGAAACTTGATGCTGATTTTATCTACACTGACAGACTCAAATCCAACAATGGAGTTGGTGCGGCAGTTGTTCATGTTAATCAAATATACAAATTTAAACTTCCATCAATATGTAACAACTAGTAGCAGAATTATTAGCATAGGTAAAGCACTCAACATCACCTTTACAGATTAAAAAAAAGATAGTTATCAGCCATTCCTTCCGTAAAACATATCTTCACAGAAAACCCACTAATCCAGGACATCGTCATATAAATCCAAAAATTGAAATATCAAAATAAACAATGCGTATATGGGTGCCCAGTTACTGTGATATTCAAGGCAATACTCAAGCTGACATTCAAGAAAAAAGGGCAATGACAGAAGGAATTCCAGTGACAGTGTACTCCTGTGGGGATATAGAATCACGCCTAAAACATAAAATATGGATACTTTCGAAACAAGCCTGGCACAACATCATATACAATAAACTACGGAAGCTTCTGTCAGGTGTTTAAATTTGTCCTTCTGACTAAGAAGACAAGTAGAAGAAAGTAGCCTATGGATCGGACATGCCATATACAAACATGGCCACCTTATGAACAGAGAAACTCTCCGCAATACAAGATATGCAACATATCTCTGACTGGAAAACATATATTAACTGAATGTCAAGTATCAAAAACATCCAGAAATTCAACCTCACAAAAAACCTAAAAGAGAACCTAAGCGACAAAACAAATGCCAAAATAAAATGTTTGAATTTCTAAAAAATACAACTATACTCGAAGAAAATTAAACAAAACAAAATAAGCAAAATCCATATTTTATGTTTTAGGAGTGAGTCTAAATCCCCATGTGGGTATGCTGTCACTGAAATTCCTTGTGTTGTAGTGTTGTTCATATTTGTAGCTATTTATGCTTGAATATCATGAATCTTGAATCTTAAAAATTCTTTCTATAGATAAAATCTGTTTGTTTTGGCACATTAATTTTATTTGTTTGTATTAATGTGTACATAAAATACTCTGTATAATAGTCCAAATGAAATATGTGCAATCAGTATGGGGACACAGAGTAATAAACTCCCTTATTTCACGGTTACTTTAGTAAGGAAAAAATTCTAATTTTGGATTTGTTTGACGATGTCCTGGATCATTACTATTATTTAAAAAAAAAAAACGGTTCGCATTAAGGAGTGATTATGGGGAGATAATACATCTTCTTCCTTTGTAAACAATTAGACATTGTAATAGTAAATGCCGGCCGGTCAGCTGATAAGACCCGAAGTAGGAATTGTTCGAAAATGAATTCATAACCTTATTCTTGTAAAACCTCTCACGGATCTTCCTCGCGACTCGCGTTAAACCGTCGGACGATCTTAGCCGGCGTTCTTGAAGTTTCAAATGTTTTGCTGAAAGGCTTGAAAAATGCTAAGGTCGGTTGTGTTGGGCTGCGGGGCGAAAGTGTTGAAACAGGTGCGGAGGCCGTCTTCGGCCAGCTCGGTCGCAGTCCCGTCGGACGAGACGCGGAAAGAGCCGGCCAAGACCCAGGGCGACGCGACCCCTCCCGCGGCCAATAGCCACAAGTCGCAAATGATCAAAGCCGCTTTCTCATCCCTCAAGCACAATTTCAACTCCGTCGACGAGAAAATCCTCGAGGCGAATACTCCGGACGAACTGCTTGTCCTGGCCCAAGATCAAAATCTCACCAGGGAACAGGCTCTCAGGGTGAGAAGAAAGCAAATTTACATTTTACCTGTAACACTATTTCATATCAATAACTGTTTCCTTTCGAGTTTGATGAAAATAATTAAAACAAAGCTTTTAAAGCTCTGCTCCTTCTTTCATAATCTTCGACCATTTAGACTAGACATAAAGATAGATAACTACCTAAAACAATCTTACCAATTGATTTTCTTGGTTCTTTTATGAAATTACCAGGTGTCAGGTGGTTAGGTACTCAGCTATTCATTCCAATATTATCATCTAGTTCATTTATGTTTAGTGGTCTAATTGACCCTGTTAATTATTTCAATAAATTATTCTTTTTATGAAAGGTCTTGGTTGAGATGAAAAAGTTACGAGCGGGATTCGAACCCACAACTTTCGGCTCAATACGCTGCTGCTATAACCTCTTGAGCTATTGTGACTTCAGTCCACTGGGATATGGGAGTTGGTGCCCAAGTGGTTTGAAGTCAAGGTATGAATCCTGCTCGTGACACTTAATTTTTCATCTCAACCAACATCTAACATAAAAGAATAATTAATTTGAATAATTAACAGGGTCAATTAGACCACTAAACATAAATGGATTAATACATAACAAGTAAAGAAGTATAACTAAACTAACAGCTACCTGAGGCCATTAATTAATTTGAATAATTAACAGGGTCAATTAGACCACTAAACATAAATGGATTAATACATAACAAGTAAAGAAGTATAACTAAACTAACAGCTACCTGAGGCCACTTCGTAAGTTGCTGAGAATGGAATCTTGATTTCACGACATTTGAAAAATGGCAAAAAGAGGGAAAATTCTAAAGGTTGTATGTTGAAATGGGGTGTTGGTGTCCGAGTGGATTGAAGTCACGATAGCTCAAGTGGTTAGAGCAGTGGCTTATTGAGTCAATGGTCGTTTGTTCGAATCCCGCTCGTGACACTAAATTTTTCATCTCAACCAAGACCTTACATGAAAATAATAATTAATTGAAATAATTAACAGGGTCAATTAGACCATTAAACATAAATGGATTAATACATAACAAGTAAAGAAGTATCACTGAACTAACAGCTCCCCGAGGCCACTTGAATCTTTTTATTATTCTTTTTATCTAAGGTCTTGGTTGAAATGAAAAAGTTAGTGTCACGAACGGGCCACGAGCCCACGACCTTCGGCTCAATACGCCACTGCTTTAACCACTTGAGTTATCGTCATAATCTTACTCGTGACACTACCTTTCTTTTTCAGCTCAACCAAGACCTTATATAAAAAGTATAATCAATGAAAATAATAAATACCACCAAATATGATTACTAAACATACATAGAGTATGATTATTTGGAGATCGTGAGATGCGGTTTGGTGTGGCGTAGGCTTTAGAAAAACATTTTCTTTATCGTGCCAATGTTTTGATTCTATTTTTATTGAGATCATCTTCAGGGCCTTAGCATAATAAAGAAAATGTTTTTCCAAAACATACATCACATCAGACCGCATCTCATGATCTCCAAATAATCATTCACTAATGGTCACTAAACACCACACATATCATAAGAAGCTATAGGTTAATACTAACGTATTGCTCAGCCTTTTCTATTTTGGTGTCAATTCTTTAAATATCTTTCATTTGACAATAGAATATGTGAAAATGAGCAACAATTTCAGACCTTTTCTGACCTTTTCCAAAAGTCTCTTTTTTTCTGTCTTGTCTATTCAAAAGGTTTATTGTCTTGTGATACATTCATGGTATTACATTCATCTTCTTTTTTAATTGAATCAAAAGCATTGGTCAATTCATGGTCAGTACCCACTATCAACTTGAATTACGATGCATCAATCAGTAAGTTGCAGGATAAAATTTCTGCATACCTGGAGCCTACTTAAAACTTAATAGATAGAAGGTCGCAAGGAAAGGTTCATTGGTTCAAATTTTAAACAAAACCACTCTCATGTCAGGATTGTGTGTAGTTTTTTTCCCTTCAACTTTTTTGAGTAGCTTAATTTTCTTCCAAACTGTTAGTTGAAGAATATATCCTGAAGTGTGGAGTATTCATTGCATTAATTAATAAACGATTGGAGCATTATTATTTCTTATTACTGCACGAATCAATCAAATGGAGTGTTACTATACTCCAGTTACTGTAGTCTGTACCAATCATCGATCAACCATTTTTCTGAAATATCTTTTTTTAAAGTATATTTAATTAATTTTACAGATAGTTACAACTTTGGCAGAATGGTCAGTAAATGGACAAGCGGATATGAGCAAGTTTGAAACGGATCCAAGATTCGTCTCCCTCTGTCAACTACTAGGACGGACGTCAAGGATATTACCGTCTCAAGTAATGAATAAACATGGTGATATTTCAGTTATTCTTGGCGTTACAGGAGAAGATGAAGCAGCCAAGCTTGTTGCATCTATCACTCTCCCCCAGATGGTCAAAGTATGATCCTTTTTATTAACTACTTTTTTTCTTTTTTTTTTGTAATTTTATGATCAAACTTAGGTGTTGAGTTCTCTGGCTAACAAGCGCCGAAGGTCAGTTCCACTTTTGCGTTCCCTAGCTTTCAATATAGAGCGATATCCAATAAAATTGGATATAAAACAGGCTTCTGATGTTTTGTACTCATTGGCCCTTCTTCATTATCCCGATGAAGTAAGGTAGCACCATCTTTTAATATAGAAAGAACATATTCCATTTCTTTGTTTGAATTTCAGGTACTGTTGGAAAAAGTGACCTCCGACTTACTGGAGAGTATTCCTTCATGTCAAAAGCCTTCAGTTATAAGTTCAATTTGCACAAGTTATGGACTGCTAAAGTATAAAGACTTAGGTAGCTAGTTTAACCAATTTAATTTTTTTTCTCCTAAACATTTGGTCTATTGCAAAAATGAAATAAATTTCTTCCAGAACTTTTAGACACTTTATCTGAATGGGTGCTTAAAAATAAAGATAAATGTCGAAACCAAGAAATTGTTTCATTACTTTTGACATTAGCAACTGTTAACCACACACCTGCTGTTGCAGATAAATTTTTTGAGGTTTGTACTTTTAAAGTTCTAAAGGTGCATAGAAAGTTTTAATTTTCATTTTTACTCAGGAGCTAGTGCCTTCTTTGACAATTCAAGATTTGCCATCGTCTCTTGTTTGGCTTGACTTCGTCTGGGCTTTAACTGTCCTAGGGCATGCGACGCCTGAACACTTCAAATCAATATTATGCGAACAATTCGCCCAAAAGTTAATTACGTGTCAGACAAGTAATATTTTATTATTTTCAAATTGTTGAATCATTAATTTACATCATTCAAAATTACAGGTGAGAATAATTACTCTTGGAAAAAAAAGATCCTTAATATCAATGGAGTGGCACGATTGAATAAAGAATATAAAGGTGATAGTTATAAATCAGTTTTTTTAAACATTATTATTGTTTTTGCCACCGTGTATGTTATTAACCAATTATTTTTTTCAGGCCCAAACTTAGACAGTAGAGATTTTACTTTCCCAATGGTACGAAACAAAGAGAAGCAGGCTTTATTCAATTCTGTAATGGATGCTCTTTCCAACATATTGCCCTCATCCACATTTTTAAGGACTAATGTAGACACAGGAATGGGGTTTATGATCGGTAATCCATTCTTATACATCTTTATTCTTATACATATTTTATGTAATATGCTTGAAAACATAAGTTCCCTAAAAAAAGAGATAATCCCTTTCATGTCTAATTATTATGTTTTAGTAAAGCAGATATATTCCTCAAAAGTTTAAAACGCTGAATGCGGGAGCCTGAAATGCTGTCGACCCTCTGGGGCAGCAATTGTTTTTTTCTTTTTCCCATAAATGGCATTAATATTAATTTCACTAATTTCGTGGTCGCTTGACCAATTAATATATTACAATTAATTAAGGTTTTTAGTTGAGATAAAAAAGTCAATGGCATGAGCGGGATTCGAACCCACAATCTTCGGCTAGATACGCCGCTGCTCTACCACTTGAGCTATCGTGACCTCGATCCACTTGGACACCAACTTCCCATCTCAACCCCATCTTTTAAATTTTATCTCAACTAAAACCCTTAATTAATTGTAATTAATATTAATTATAAAACATGGTAAAACTTAGAGCCTAGTTGACAATTTTTGTAAAACACTTTGCTTTTAATGGTTATTATTATTATTTCGCTTTTATAATTTACCTTTATAATACAATAATTTCGACAATTATTTTGTTTCTTTTTTTTAAGTGGGGGAGAGTAAGGTTACAATTACAAAAATAAAAACAATTATTTACAGTAAATATATTTTCATAATAAACCTAGTCTATACAATAATTCGAACTATTTACAAAGTAATTATTACCAACTGTTAACATTATAATTTAATTAATTAATCTTTATGTAAAGTATTGGTTGAGATAAAAAAAGTCAGTGACACGAGTGGGATTCGAACCCATGACCCTCGGCTAAATATGCGCTACAATGAACGGTGTATTTATCCGAGGGTCGTGACTGACTTTTTATCTCAACCAATACCTTACATAAAGATTAATTAATTGAAAAGTTATTTGGTCAATCGGACCATGAACCTCTAATGAATTAAAATTAATATTTAGCTAAAATTATTAACAAAAATGGATCTATGTAGAATTGAGTTCTTCAAAGCACTGGGGACACAGTATAATTTTTCAGCCACCAGTGCTACAAGCAGGGCAGTTATTTTCCCACTTTTACTACCTTGCCCATCAGCTCTTTTGCAATTGACAAAAGATTTGTCCATTTTATTCTCCTGATGTTGAACGTAAGGGAGTGGGAAAATGTCCAGCAAGAGGACGAAGGACTGTATATTTTGTCCAATTGGTAATAACTATTGAAAAAGAAGAAGCTATCCATGAAAAGCGCCTGAAGCTCATTTTTATCTTCTTGTTGATTTCACAGCTCTTTCTACTAAGACTCCATTTTTAAAAGTTAGTATAAACTAATTTAAAGAACTGAGCATCACTGGCAACAATGGTTTAGGCGCTCATCACTGTAAGATAAAGGTCCGTCCCGGGTTTGAACCTTTTTTTTTTTTTTTTTTTTTTATCAAAAACAGCAGCACTCCAAGGGTTCGTTTAACCTCATAGTTCAAATAACCTTGTAAAAAGAAAAAAATTAAAAACGTTGAAAATTAGAATTTATTTTTATATTTCGCATTATTTATTGTTAACCAAATTTATTTAAAAATTAGATCTTACAAATTAAATGAAAAAAACAACATATTCTTAAACTTTTGGAGATTTTTCTGTTCAAAACCTTAAAAATTTCAAAACATTTTAGTATTTAACATTCCATCTGTCAATTCTGTGATCTTACATAATATAAAAATAACCAAATCTGTCCCTTAAAAACAAAGAAATTCATTTTTAAAAAAGTTCATTGCCAATTTTCTCAGGCATCAATGGAGCTATCCTGGAACAGAGCGTATCATTTGAAAGCTAGTTTCACACTGATCTAAAAACTCCTTCAAAGTGGGGATCCACGAAAGTGGGACAAAATATTAGCCAATAGAAAATGGTGCATCCAAACAATGGCCTGGGTCTCATATGAGACCCTCCGCCTTGAACGAATTAATGAAAGAATGGGTGTTGTTTTGTTTTTTTCTAAATTGGCTTCATCCCTGACGTGTTAATATAATATGATCAAACTTTTACAAATTATATTGGTATTCACATAAGTATTTTGCAGATGGTGAATGTCTAATTGATGAAAAGATGACTCCTTTACCAGTTGTTGATAAAAAGACTGGACAGCCTCTCTCGGTCCCGAAAGCATCTAAGTAAGTTTTGCGTTTGTTTTTTAGATTTTAGATATTGAAAGCTTCACATATATATTTTTTAATGTTTCATGCAGAAAGAATAAAAAAAATTCTGGAACAAGGTATCCATTTGAAATTTAGTAATTAACAAATGAAAAATGTTTAAAACCTTTGTGGACTGAATAGGGGTGAGTGAAAAATGTTTAAAAAAAAAAAGACCTGTTATTTTTGGTAATAATTGTACTTAGTTTAATCCAGTTTTCCATAAAACTCCTTTGTTGCATTGAAAAAATTCTACTCTAATTATCAGAATCTAATCAATATTCTTTAAAAAGGGGAGGGGGTTGTTGCTCGGAAGAGTGGTAGGAACAAGGTGAAAATTTTTTTTTTTTTAAATCAGGTATCACCTCTCCAAAACCTCATACATCATTTCAGTTGACTTTACACTTCAAACTCACTGTGGATAACTGTTTGTCAGCAAGTTGACAAATGCTTTGTGTCAATTCAGTCTCAGTAATGTCTTTTAGAGTATTAATTATCATTCAAGTTGGTTGCCTTTCTTTTAAGTGTCTCTGCTACAAATTTGTGGGCCAAACTTGTAGTTTTTGCTGGCCATAAATTCTATAAAATTAACATAGAATAGCAATATTATCATTGATTTGTTGAAAATCGAACAAACAGCGCTAGCCTGCCAATACAAATAACAATAATTTGTTGAAGTCGTTAGGAGCGGGCAGGAATGAAATATTTTTAAAAAAACATCTTTTTTCACTTTTTCCTACGTTTATATAGGTCATCTTCAAGGCCTGGGTGAATTACAAAACATACATTGATTAGAAAAAAAAACAATACATATGTAAATAATATAAATTTTGAACCAAGAATTTCATAATCACGTAAAGTATGATGCTGTTTTTGTGGTGTTATATTTGATGTTATCACACATGAAACCGAAACAGAAAACAAAATACCATTCCTAGATGATACATTTGTAATAAGGCAAATAGATGGCACATCAACTACAATTGGTACCAAAAACACTGATCAATTATACATCATACAATAATAAACACAGCTAAAGGATTGTTACACAGAATCATATCCGTAGGTAATGAATTCTTTCACTTAAAAATGTTCAAATATACAAATAAATCTTGTATAACGACTACCCTAAAAACATAATTAACAGAATCATAAACAATTATAACCCAACAAAAACATCCTCCACAGTACACAACACATCAACCCAATCATGCAAACTGGACAAACCAATATACATGTTTATTCCATTCGTCCACACAGTCATACAAATTATTTCTCTCGGTGCACATTAAATAGCCTTCAAAAACAACACACTTTTTTTTCCAAAATCAAAGACCCAACACCGTCAGCCTACAAATCCGATGTAATTCATAAAATTAATTCTATGAACTGTCCAGCTACATTGGAATGCAATATCTGGAAAAATGTAAAAAAACAACACATTTGTGACTAAAACACCAACAATAATACCACAACATTGGCCACACATCAGTTTAAAAAACAACTTTAATTTCAACAAAATACAAATACTAAACACTGGGAAAAAACAAATGCAACGTTCGAGAAATGGTTTACATTAATGTGACACAGTATTAAATAAACTCAGCCTTAGTTACACCAACTGACTGACATCATAAAGTAAATAAACTATTAAACTTTATCTTTATATTTCCCTTTCTTTCGTTATCGTCCATAATGATTAACTTCCAATATTGAATAAACCCCAAATCACAAATTGAATCCAGAAAATCATCATTCTCGACATCCTTTGAGTTTAAAAAAAAAAAACCACCTGATTGAAGAAAATTTCTCATATTAATCTGAGTGTGAGTACCACACCCAGTCACAATAATAAAAGAAACGGCAGAATACAAATTCATGTTTCACAAACACATATAGTTCCACACTGAAATATTTGGTTCAGAATTAATATTTATTGTATTTTCTAACAATCAACATGTTTGTAATTCACCCAGGCCCTGAAGATGTCCCGAATAATGGTTGAAATGTATGCAAAAAAATGAAAAAGGTGCTTTTCTAAAATTCTTCAATCCTCACCTCTCCTCACATCAACAAATTATTGAACAACCAGTCTCTATAAAAACACATAAATAACATTGGAAGATGGGAAAAAATTTGTTAGTAATTTAAACAAGATTAAAATGGTCATTCATTTTTACTCACCCCTATATTTAAGTAAAGAGTAATTTGACAATGAGTTTGTTTTCAGGATTGCCATTATGGTGTGGGACTATCACGATAAAACGAAAGGGAGAGTTACAACGCTGAACGGACTCAGTGCATTGAGTTCCCAACTGCTTATTTCGATGGGCTATAAAATCCTTTCTGTACCTTATTCAGATTACAACCCTAGAGAGAAATTGACCCTTCGTGTACAATATTTAGAGCGACAAATTAAATCCATTGTCCAGTCAAGTAGCTAATTGAAGAATGCTGGCTGTAGATTGTTTTTATGATGTAGATTCGACATTTTAAGCAGAGAGAATGATCGTTAAGCAATATTTGTATATGCAAGTTCCAAACAGACTAACGAGTGTAGTTTGTCAAGAATTTTTGTTATCTAACCAAGTGGTAATAAATATTTTGCTTTTATTGTTTCCCTCTTATAATATTTTGTACATTGTTATGAAATACTTGTACATAATAAATAAAATTTGTGAAAAAACATTGGCTGATCAGTGTTTTTTCATTGTCTACGGATGTATAAAAGGTTTATTTTATTTTATATAGTTTATACACCAGGTTGTTTTTTGTTGTTTATTTCAAACAGTGTAGGTATTTTTATCGTTACATTAATTACAGCTTACTTATTATAATATAAACCAAATTAAATAAGATAAGAAAGTCATGGGTTTTAATAAAAATATTTAATTATGATAGTTTGAAAGAAAATTTGCCAAAACACAGTAAAATCATTTAGTGATAGATTAAAATTTATCTAACAATTTATTATATTACTAAACGATTTGCCAGCATTTTGGTGAATTTGCTTTCAAACCATGATAACTAAATAATTTTTGTTAAAACTCAATTTCTTATTTCATTTAGTTTGATTTACATTAAAATAAGTATATTGCAATTAATATAGCAATAAATATATAAACATAGTTTGAAATAAACAATAAAATGATTATTATATTACATTATTTTTTCGTCTTTCAATATATATTAGTGAGTTTTCAAAAATAATATAATAAAACCATTTATTTAACAAATACATATTAACAAATTTCTTAAGACATTAATATTAAAACATTTGATTTACAAATTGAACAATATACTATAAAAATAGTTGTCAAAAATGTATTTTAAAAAATTCATTAAATCATACGAATCATTTCTACTTTAAAATAGAAGGATATTTTTGACTCAGAGTTAAATTATAATTTGACTCTGTGTCAAAAATATCCTTCTAAATAATTATTTAACAGTAGCATAGTATAAGCTCAAGCAATAGCATAATGTTGAAACTGTCAATCTGCCAGTTTCCCAAACAGCCCCAACCTTCTCATCTTTTCCCTCCTCGATATCGATCTTGTTACTATTGAACTATTAAGGCTATTCCTAAACATAAAAAAATAAATGTATATTAATTTTAACCAAATAAAGTAAGGAGTAAACGTACCTAATTCCTGAGTTTCTAGGAGTATTGAGGATGTTGCAATTTTCACTTTGTTTTTTATGAAACTGGAAACAAAGAGAACAATTTGTACATTGTAGTGTGGTGTTATGGAAGCGAAATGTGTATATATAACCAAGACAAGGCACACTGATGATCAGGGATAATCAAACTACACTGAGAGGCAAAAAAAAGTGGCCGCTCTTTCTTTTTTTAGGTAAATACTTGCAATCATTATAATTATAATATTTTGTTTATTGGATATTTATAAAGAAAATACAAGATATAGTTAAATAAAAAATGAAACTGAGTAAAATTATTTGACTAATGTTGCTATGTAAACAATGAGAAAAATATTTAATTCATCCTCTTTTACAACTTGTACAACTCAGGTACAGGCAGGACTACATGTTGGCAATTGAAAACATTGAATTGAAACCCATTCCAAGTAGTTACCAACAATCCTAGCTGTGTGGGGACTTATATTGTAATGCATAAAAATAAAACCTTCGTCAATCAGTGGCATATAAGGAACAATTTTTTCTGACACATCTTCACTATATCGCACAGATGTTAAGAAACCCTTGATGAAGATCAAGATTATGTGACCTTAGAGAAATGCACCACCTACATAGCTTTTCCCAAGTGAAAATATTCCGGGGATATATTGCTCTCCTGTTCTTCTCCAAACCGTCTTGGCTGTCAAAAGACCTCAACATCAAGTCAAGACCTTGACTCATCTGAAAACCAGATTTTATTCCAATCTTGCTCAGGCCAATTGACGTGAGTTCTTGAAAAACAACTTAGGGTGACCACTTTTCTTTGCCTTTCAGTGTCAATAATAAATGTAAAATCAAATGTGTTACCTTGGATCTTGTGTTACTGAGATTTGGGCATTGTGCGGGCAGTTGATTTTCTGAAAGAAAAAATAGGTTTGTCATTCCATTATTTTAATTTTTAATCAGAATATATGGATACTCACGTTTAAGCATTTCGTTTTGTTTATTGTTTCTACTCAGAGAATGCCAATTTCTTGCTACAGATTTCCAATTCTCGGGAAAACCCCCATGCATAAAGTACTTCTTTATTTTTTGAGGGATTGCTACAAATAATTTTAAATCTACATTAATCTCAAATATTATAAAAAATTGATTTTTTGTTTTGAACTTACAATTTGTCGGATCAACGAATTTACCAATGAGCATGTAAGTGCAGACATTTGTTTTGATTACATTTTTATTAGGAACCTCTATTACATTATGTGAAACGTGATTCTCTTCAATTGTGTTTCTGAATATTCTTTAGAAGAATGTAATTTGATAAATAATAATTCATAATGAAAAATTTAAACCATAATATTTGTTTTTCTTACGCATGAATAAGAGTGCCAGTGACTTTTAAATCATATGGCACATCTCCTTTAATAACGGTCCAGTCTCCTAGACAGTAGCTGCCCTGTTTCTGTACGACTGCCTGCTGCCGTATAGGCGACAGTGATTTTTCTGTTGCCATGTCCTGGAAAGATTGATTACACGTCTCTTGTGGAATGGTATGAATAGCCTGAGTTGGAGGAGAAGGTGGCATCGATTGTTCTATGTACGACTGCTCTGTTTCTACAAGGGTACACATATTAAAGATATAAAAATTTGTTAAAAATTGTGTTAGACATTCTTTTATGTATTTATTTTTTATATAATTGAAAGTAGAGATGGGAAAAGATGGAAAAACCACTTTTTTAGGGATCAGGATTGGTTCTTCAAATAAGCCTACTGGCTCATCGTTGATCAATATGTAACAACTTCTTCATTTTCTCCTCTTGACAATCAATGATCAAACAATCTTGATGTACCTTTTGATATTACGATTTTGGGAAATTTGTAAACCATAAAGACTAAAAATAAATAAAATTATATAGTAATGTGCCTAGTTTAATTTAGGCAAAGAAAAATAATTCATGTTATACAGGAAGGCTTCACAAACAACTTACCCGATTGGGTGAGGCAGATGAGAAGTCAAACTACTTATTTATTACTACATATTATTATTCAACGAAACGACTTTACTTTTTCTTAAGTAACTTTCGTTTACTTTGCCCTAATTGATCTCAAATAAAGATTCATGTTGGGGAGTGGCAAAATTGAGCTGGTGAAAAAATAATTTAAGCCTTGAAAAGGCAGCCAAAACTACTTTTAATTTTTATAAAATAAAGAAAATGTATTCATATTTCCCATCACAATATATCCATCTTTGCCAATGTGTAATAAGCACTTTTATTCTGCTGACATTTCGACCCACAATAAAGACATTGAAGGCGTTTTCTGCTTCACTACATTCTCTAAAAAATTTTATCCCTCAAGAAATGATCCAAATGCCTAAACAGAGGAAGTCTGTAGGCAAGAGGTCGGGTGAATATGAAGGGTGTGGTAAGGTATCATATCCTAAGTCCTTAAGTTTCTGCAGGTTTGAATAAGAATCAGCCCCTTACGGTTTACCAATGTTAGACAAAGATGTTGCAGTTTCCCATGCATTTTGTTAATTTTTGGCAATATTTCTCTGCAGTGATGGTTTCACCATAATTCAGGAAATTATAGTGAACAACCCCAGCAATACCCACCCACCCAATACAAACGCCTCAATCACTGTGTTACTTAATTTGCTTAGTATAAGTTAACTTAAATATTAACTCTCATCACCTCTTTGTGTTTTGTCCATCCAAGTTTGTATTCGCTGAAATTTGTTCGGATCCATTTGCCATTCATTTTGTTGACATGATTGAGTTTGCTGGTGATGTACAACATTCTATGAAAAACTTCAAACACTTATTTTACAAAACTTACCATTACATGTGTTTGCAAGATTCTATCTAAAGTCGCTTCAAGTTTTTCAAAGAAGTACAATTTCCTGACCTGTAAAATCATGTAAATGTTTAAATTTGTTGATAAGTTGCATATAATATAAACTTGTTGTTGTATTATAAGTCATGCTTACATAATCGATATTTGGAGACGATTTGAAATAATTTATAGTTGAGATGAGCTCCTCTTTCTTTTCATTCATCAGAGCTAATTTAACATCTTCTAACGTTGGATTGACTGGTCTCAAAAACCCTGATTGGCTCCTTTCTAAATTGAGCGGAGGTATTGGATGTTGCCTCCATTTATTAACAAAGGAGTTTTAATTATACAATTTTAAACAAAGCAAACCAGCCAAAAAATTAAATTATACCTATAGTGGATCTTTGGCTGCAACGGATAAACACTAAATGAATCCAATACAGATGGGTTCAAGTTGTTTACAACAAAGCTACAGTTGAGTTGTGAAGGGTTACTTCTGAAAACCAAACCAAAATTAATATAAGAGTTTATTACAATTTAGCTAAAAAAATAATCAATGGTTTATTATTATTCAAGTAAAAACTAATCTACAGATTGAAATATATGCTAAGAGATTAACAAATAATATGGTTGATTAGATAATTTAAAACTCAAGGGGCCACAAAAATATTTCGAATTATCAAGAAGAAAGAAAAAAATCAAATGTTAAGAGTTGTATGAGTGATAGATCAAGTAAAAAATTTCACATTGTTATGCATTATTTAAAAAATCATGAAGATGTTTTCATTTCAATGTATTCCTTGTGATGACCCAAAATGATTTTTGTAAGTGATTAATTATGAGAATACATTGACACACCAATGACTGGCGAAAATAACACATTATAAAAAATTCGACGAAACTTTAGGCTGCAGGGAAGTAAAATGTAATAGAATTTAGAGAGAACATTACAAGGAAGAAGTTTGAATTATAAAGAGGAGGAAGAAGATCCATTTCGATTTATAGAATGCCTCTCTCTCTCTTCTTGTTACAGAAAATATTTTGTACTATCGAGTGTGTCAAATACATAGATTTTTTTTTTAACCAAATGACCTGCTGAGGAGTTTGTATTATCAAGAAATTGGAATTAGTTTCGAATTAACAAGAGCCGATGTATTTTGGCAATAAAAAAGTGAAATTTCTATAAAATTCTATAATAATAATTATATAAAACACAAATATGAAAAATAATTAATAAATTTAGAAACACCTCTCGATATTTCGGGCATCTTGAATCTTCGGCAGCATTTTAGAAATATCGAGTTTTTCTAGAATCACAGAGCACGATTGTAAATTCCTACAAATAAATAATAACAAATGAACAAGAGAGAAAAACATAATCAGATTATTAATCAAATAAAATAAGCTTAGTTTTAAGGTATGTCAAATATTGTTAACCTTTGATCATATAGCTGGGATCGGACTTTACGTGATTGACACTGGTCCAAGGCAACGAGTGTAGACATCGAAATGTCATGTTTATTGAGAGATGGCAAATTGTTATGCCATTTAGATCTGTCCCTGTTGAGAAAAAAAATAATAAAACAGAATAACAATTAATACAAACTACCATTGACTAATCATACAGAATTATATTAATTATATGCTGAGAAACAAAAAAATGGACACTTTTTTTTTTAATAAATACTTGCAATCATTATAATTTTTATTTTTTGTTATTCACTGGATATTTTCTGAAGAAAAATATAAGATATAGCTAAACAAAAATAAATAAATCTATTTAATTTAATTATTATTTTTTTTTTTTTCTTTTTCTGCTGAATGCCCCTTTGGCAACCAGACAGTAATGTCAAGTTTGGACACTTAGTTCGCCAATCACTCATGGTATAGTATGAGAAAAACAAAGTTCACAAATAGTTGAAAACGGGGTGGTTGGCAAAATGTAGAGAAACCTCCAGGGTGAAAGCCAAAGTTAAGAAACGGGAAGAGGAGACTACAAAACCCCATCTGATGAGAAAGATCCCTTTTTTCAAATTGTAGTTTGGTCTTCTATCATCATTCTAGTATGTTTTATCCTAGCCAACTTATCCAACTGGAAATTATCAAGCTACGGTTCACCGTACAGACATCACCACAATTTCATTGCCCTGTTTAAAATAGTTATAACACTTTTTTTCAATGAGGCTGTTCCTCTACTACAAGGAACTATGAACTATTGAACCATGAACCCTAGGAGTGCTGGTGTTTTTAAAAAAGCCCATTCGTAAGAAGGGCAGGCATGAATGCAAGGCCTTTACTTACAGTAATGAAGCCATGACAATCGCCTAAACTGTGTCATTGTGGATCCATCTAGTTCAGCAAAGATCTACCAGGTAACCAGAAAATTTTGTGCGGTTTTTCATTAATCAACATTTCTATTTAAAGAGGATTAAGTGTTTACATAGTAATACCAAGATGATAAGCGAAATTCTTAAAAAAAAGTTGTTTGAACAGTTTACTATAATTCAAAAACCTAATAGGTGCATACTTATTGTATGAATTTAAGTTCGGTAGTGGGCGGCTGAGGCAGCTCGTAAAATTCATACTGAATTCGGTGATGTAACAATAACGAATTATAGATTTTGAAGCCAAAGAATATATATTAGATAGCCATAGAAAATATTTTATAACTTACCATAAAATGTTCAACGCTTTTTATTAACTGACATTATATTATCCTCTTGGTGATTTAAACACCTAATCCTCTTAAGTAAATAGAAAGGTTGATTAACGGTATCAAAACTATTAAAACTGCACGTACTTTTACCTACATGTTAATCACAGCATAAAACTAAACACTACAGAGTGTGGACGAGCTTCTTTTCTGGGTAACATCACCTCTTCTACAAGTAAAACAGCATATATGAAGATGATTAGAAGCCCAAACAAAACCTTTCTCTAAGTTACTGCAAGAAGGTCCCCCCACAATTATGAATAATTCACTAAAGATTCCACAAAATGTCTACAACTAAAAATCTTTTATAAAAGTTATTTTTCCTGCAACGATGAACAGGTTGAATATAAATTTGGTTTTAGAATTAATAAAAGTGCATATTTATACAATTATCCTGCCAATGAGGTTAAAATCGTTTTAAGAATGAACCGATTGTTTTATTATTTCAATATAAGGGAAAAGATGATTCAAAACCTGTTACTCTGTGTGACAGATCGTGTATAAAACAAAATACAAACTAAAAAACTTTTTTTGTTTACTTGTTCTTGTAAAACAGAAGTGTTTTGTTAACTGACCTGGGTGGTTTGTGTAGTTGACCCTTCGTGGTTCTGTCATGTAGAACAGTTCTCCTGGAGCAATCCAAGAAGGACTTCGCATTTTCTTTGTTTGCCAGAGACTTTTTATTTTCCGCCTTAGAGTAGTCCGGTTTCAGAAATGATGAAGCGATGTTGCGTTTTAACTTTTTGAATTCGTGAGTATTGGCTAAGTTATTCATTTCGTTCTAAGTTGAAAACGAAATGGTTTATGTGGTAAAACGGTTGCTTGTTAGAACAGGATCTTTATTTTTACCGTTGAATAATGAATTCTACAAGCGCGACTTTCCCGCCTTTCTTTATCTTTTATCATCCAATGCATTCTACTGTCGGTAATATTTCTAAAAACTAAAATAAATAATAATAATAATAATAGTACGAATAAAATTCAAGAAATTTATAGAAGTAAATTGTGTACTATTTTTCATTTACTTTTACTATAGTGGAAAACAAACTTTTGTCGACGATTATAGGCACACTCGGCTATCGATCTTTTCGTATCGTTGCCGCCAAGGCGCCAATGAAGAACGTCTCTCTCATAAACACCGAATTTCCAAAAGTCCAAAGGTAGGAATAAATTTACTTTCTACGGCTTCACACTTAGAGGAAAAATGTTTCGTTCAACTACTGAGAAAAAACGTAATTTTTCTGATCATTTTAATTATAAATACTTACATAATTATGAACACCCAAAACGCCCATCAAAATTACTGATGAACTGCTCCACAGATTTTCGTTCTCGACCGCTTAAACGTAAGCCCTGACCACAAATTTATTCAGAAAATCACCAAAACTATACATTCTTAATCGTGAAGACGATTAATAAATAATTTCCCCTTGCAGACCTCAACAAAATATTTAAAAAATTATTATTAATCATTTTAACTTTTGAGTGATTCTTTTTTACGAGTATATTGAAATAATGAAATTGTATAACTGAGTATGTGTGCCCATACTGGAGTCTCATATGCAGGAGCAGGACTAATATTGCCAGGCTGCATGTTGTGGAGAACAAGTTTCTGAAACTTGTGATAAATTCTACTCGATGTACACAAAACTGCACACTGCAACAAACATTGGTGGTAATGGAATACATCAGAGATATTTTAAGCAAGCATCTTTCCATTCTGCTGCCAAATAGGTCACTATAGTTTGGGCGACAGGTTCTTATATCGAGAATTTGCTGGCTTCGCTCCTAGGAAACGGGCGGGGTTACTTAGTGTAACATTAATTTAAAAATGGGCGCCACGCTGTTTAATATGACACGGAAACAGCAAACCGTAATGGAATACATCAGAGATTTGTTTTAAGCATGCAAGGCGAGCATCTTCACAATATTCTGCTTAATAGGTCACTATAGTTTGGGCAACAGGTATATGCACAGGAGAGTAATGCCTCCCCATGTAATATGGTCATAATAGGTTGGATGGTATATGGCTAATTCTGAATGGTTAGGGGGAAAAAATAGGTTGGTTGTTTGGTCTAATCTTTTTCCCCAATCGCAAAATAATTTTGATGTAATCTAATAAAAAATGTAAGGACGGGGTGTCGGTAGCTACAACTATTTAGGCATTTTCATTACTGTAATGTAAAGGTCCCGGTTGCGAATGTAAAACCATGCCTTCGAATCTGACATACTTACAAATAGGCTTTTTTAACATTAACTTCTCTAGGTGCAGGAAAATGTCACTAGAATACTTTGTAAATATTGAATTTAATTTGTATAACTATTGAATATTTACTGGTCTAAATCACAATTTCATTGTTTCAATATACTCATAAAAGAGAATCATTCTACAGTTAAAATGATTAACAATAATTTGTTAAATTTCCTGTTGAGGTCTGCAGGGTGACCTGGTACTACACATTAATAACAATCCATATATGTATTTAGTAATCATAATTGACTGTATTAATTATTTTTTAATTAATTATACTTTTAATATAAGGTCTTAGTTGAGATCTGGTTTTGCTTTTTCATTTCAACTAAGACCTTAGATGAAACTATAATTAATTAAAAATTAAAACACTCTTTCACTTTTGATGAAATACCTAGTTACTAAAACGTAATTCCAAAAATACAAAAGTGACTCCCCTCCTCAAAAAAAGAATACATATGCATTGCATATAATATTATCACATTCCTTGGTTAATATGCAAAGTTCATTAGGCCATTAAAAAATAATAATAATAAAATAAATAAATGAAATGTTAACATGCAAGTAGATATCTATTTTTATTTAAGATTGATGAACTCTGTTTAACCTTGTCTGACTGACTTAATCCATCCATACACAAATATTATTCATAGCCTAATAAAGAAACAGAAGTATTAATGAATGACACTTTCACAGTATACACTCAAATAAGATAGTTGACACAAAAACACTGTCTGACTTAAGATTTTAAACCCCTATAATCAAGCTACAGGTTTACCGCCTTGCTGCTACAACTCATAAGCAATCTACATAGTTGATTTCATATGAAAGATAAAAGGTGTCTACTACAACATCTTCTACACCTAGATAAAGTTGAGTTAATTTATATACAAACTTATATCTGTATTGATTACTTTTCAGCTATTTTAGAGAAAAAATTTTGTTGTATCATGTAAATTTTAACAAGTTTCATCTGGGTCAATCTGCAAATACTAACCGACACACTTGATGCTACATAGTTAAAAAAATTGCCTGAATTGACTGTAGTTTTCTCAAAGAGGATGTTTTTTAGGATTGCAAGGTAGAAGTTTCATCAATATCATTATGTCAATATGTACACCAGCCGAAACGGTTGATGTTTGAATAGAGGGAGCACCATTAATCAAAATCAAAAGAGTTTTATTTAGCAAACAGAAAGTGATTTAGTATAGATGTATAATTTTTTAATTTTTTTATTAATCAAGATTTGTTTTTGTCCTAGAATTTTTTTTAAAGTCAAGTAGATTATTTTGTAAAGGTTGGATTTTAATGTTTTTTCTTCTCTCTCCAATCTTATGCAAGAGACCCGATCGTCAAATGATTTTCGAAACACGTAGTGGCTTGCCTGTCGTTGTCGCGCCCTGCCGGAGGAAAAAAGCATCACGTGACGTCATCGCGAGTCTCCCATCGTCACTCCTTTCCTTCTTGTAGTTGTGTGGGAATGCCCTGTCACCAGTGATTTATTTGTGGTTATATTTTGTGTTCATCCGAAGGATTATTTTTTTGATGTAAGTAGCGAAAAAAGCTTTTTCTGATCCTGTCCCGCCGTCCGGACGAGTCACCGCGGTGGTACGGGATTCCGATCCCTCGGGCCGGATAATCCTCCCGTCGCCGAGGTGCGTCGCCATTTTCTCCGTTTCCCCGACAAGTGTCGTAATTGTGGTGTTTTAAGGCTGGAAATCCTCAGTTTTTCCGTCTCACGTCGCTTTTCCAGCCGAGTTTTTACTTTTCGAAGTTTTTGTTTCAATTCGGCAGTCTCAATCCGTTTCGAGGCCCCTTCCCGAGCTCACGTCTCCGACTCTTTTGTCTTGGCCATATTTCCACGTTCGCCTCAGGGGCAGGGCGAAAAACGAGATTTCCACCTCGAACCCACTCTTCTATTCTCAATTGTCTGATCTCCGTGACTTGAGCCTTTTGATTTGGATGATTTCGAAAAAAGTAATTGCTCTTTTTCAAGGCCCTCGTCCATTTCACCTCTGCCACCTTTTTTTGTTTTATTATTTTTCTACCAGTTTTCCTCTCTGTTTTACTTTAAACATCTCTTAATTATGATCGGCTCCTACCTGACCGGACGGCCGTTTTCCTTTTTCCAACTATCTCTAGAATTTGTAAATCAATCGATATTTCCTACTTTCATTATCTACCTGATTTGATCGGACAAGTAAGTGTGCGTTTAAAGGCCTTTAATTGCTATTTTATCTTTTGTGTAGACCTAACAGCACTTTATCGTTGAAAGTTTCGAAATCTACGAAAACGGGATCTCTGTGGAACAATTTGAAAACGATTATTGCCTTATATAACGACACTGAAATTTACATTTTTTCACAAATGTCACAAGGATACTTACCAATATAGTGAGCTAGCAAAATGCAATGAAAGATATCGAGATTCAATATTTTATCGTTTGACCAGGTTAATTTAAAAAAATAGGGATAAAATATATTCCAGAGTAATTTAAAATATTTTCTTTTTGTTTCTAAATAACCTTATTACTGATTTTAAACATAGTTACATATTGGTCCTATGCAATGCTTAGTGGTGTAAAGCTGTATGTTATTTCATTTTCTTCATCTTAAGACAATACTATTGTTTTAAACAAAGATAATTATTTTTATAAGAAGAAATATTAATTTGGTACAAATACTTATCTTTTATTTATCTAGTGCATGGTAAAAAGTTCTAATTAAAATATCCAGTTAAGGCATAATTAACAATATTTTGAATTATATGTTAGCCGGAGTTTAAGTCGGAAGTTGTTCTTTCGTTCCATCTTGCAAATATCACAGAACAAATATTTGTAACATTTGTGAAATGTGATGAGTCATATTGATGAGTTTAGGTGTGTATTTCCATTGTTGCTGTGCACGATACCATTTCTGTGGCCCACCATGTTTCCTTAGGAGTCTGATAGTTTCCTTTTGTAGCATAAGATTCCGAATGGAAAGTATCTCATGTTTTAATTTCTCAAAAAATTTGTTTTGCCGACATTCTGAACTGTAGAGAGAATTGCTGTTGTCATTATTAACATTTATTATATTATTTGTTATTATTAATTCATTTGTTTTAATCAACACTTTAATCTAGTGACACTCATCGGTCCATCCTTTGGTCCCACCTCTTTATAAGTTAATACTCAATCTCAGGTACAAGTATTTCTTTATCAAAATTTGTTGAAATTTGTTTTCAATAAATTAGGCCCTGAAGATGGCAGAACATTCGCCGAAAGCTTGAAACCCAGTAGTGATGTTTTTTATTCACCTGTAAAATGACCTCAAGAAGATCCAATACATCAATTTAAACTACGGAGGTTGATCAATATCAACTAGAATAATGTAGTATGTAAAATGATCCAAATTTTTCAATATTTTCCAAATGCATTTTTAAAATAATTAATGTTATTCGGTGGCTGTAACGTTGAATAAAATCCCAATCACTTCTTTCATCCTAATGCAAATATTAACTGTTTCCTACATGTGGTTTATACATGGTGCAGTTGGATTGTTTTTATTGTACATAGTGGGAAAAAAAAAGAAAAAAAAAAAGAAAAAAGATAAACAAAACATGAAAATTATATTACACAAAAACTGGA